ACCATTGCCCAGGGGTCCATTTGGAGAGGAAGCACACCGGGGGGGGGGGGGGGAGGGGGGCAAGCGTCGCGACACGACCGGGCCTTACGGCTTAGCTCGAAACAACCGTCTACTGACAAGCAAACCTCGTCTTGATGTTTCCCCACAAGGAGAGGGGCGATTGGTTCTCATACCTACTGTGTTCGACGCTCTCGTTCACAAACAAGAATTGGGGTGCCAATAGCCCGCGGTTTGTTTGGGGCGGTGCGTTCGAGTTGGGACAAAGGCGAAGAGGCGAATTGGAACCCTCCGGGCAAGGAACATACGGGGGAGAAGACCGAAAACGGAGGCCGAACAAGACATGACCAACATGCTACAGAGTACACAGGCCTCCCTCCCTCTCCGCGTGTGCCTCTTGCCTTCCCGATTGCAATCCGCGGTGCGTTACTCGCATGCACACGAACCTGCATGGCCTGCGTACGAATCGCTTCGTCACTTCCTTCCCGCTCTGTTGCTGCAACCTCTGCCTCGGGAGGAACAGGCGGCGCCGTCTCTGCCGCCGTCGAGCCTTCGCCGCTTGTGGCCTCAGCCGCAAGGGCCAAAATTTGCGCGACGCCGCCCGACATTCCGAAGCTGCCTCACCTTTATTTAGGCATTTACGTTGGGAACGGCAAGGTCACAAGACAGGAGGCGAACACGATGGTATTGCCGTGACGCAAAGCTGCAACAAGGCGACGTGTTTGGTTTGCAGTTTGGCGGGCCTACAGCCCGCTTGACTCAAAACTGCAGTGAACATCGTCGTCGCTGTTTCAGCTCGACCTCGCTCTGTTTATGTCTACGCGCCCGGTCTAATGCATTGCGGGGCAAGATGGCAAGAAACGCGGCCCCGACAGCTCCTTGTTTCTTGTGTCGGTGGTGGGCTGAAACCATTTGGTTGTACGATGATGACTCTAGCATTTTTGTGACCACGGACTCGAGCTTTTGCTAAAAGATTTTGGGATTAGCAACTGACACGAGTTTAATGTGAAGACAACAACAACAACAACAACAACAACAGCAGTGGCCTACAGCAAGTAGGTGGTGGTGTAAAGTACAGCAGTATTGTAGGGTGTGGTCGGTACCATGAACATTTCCTTGTTTCGCCGACCAGGATTTTTGACTCTACGTCTGAGCCGTGTCTTCTCCACATGTGCATTTGCTATATATATCATCTGTACAATAATAGTGCTTGCGTATCTCGGTATTTGTGTGCGGGGGGATAGTATTAGTATGCATACCTCATACCTCTCGTTTGAAATGCAATGCAATGGTGGATCGTGGATCATGATTATAGAAAGTGAGACACCAAGAACTCTACCTTCACCTCGTACAGCAGTGGTAGAGGTCTTGGATAGATTTGAGAACCGAGGAATGGTACTAGAGGCGGGAACGAGACGGAGCGAGTGGAGCTGCGCGAAGCTATCACTACTGTTGGACAATGGGACCCACAGACGGGGACCCGATAGATATGGTACCCAACTCGAACCTCGCTGCCATTAAAAGTCTCGTGTGTGCCCCCCGCAGCGAACCGGTTGCGGTTGCCGTGCACCCACTCCGGCGCTACTGCTGCTCCATGATTCAGAGGCCATGTCCCTCTTCCTCGTGGTCTCCCTGCTTCTTATTTTGAGCCCGGCAGCATGTAGGGCCTTTGTGGCATTCGGGCGACAGGAGCCTGCTGCTCACGGGGATGTAGGAAACAATCGAGGGAGGAGGAGCCGCACATCAGACACAGCAGCAGCCTTCGTTGTTGCAGGAGGGGCAGCAGCAGCAGGCACGACGCGATGCACCGATGCAGCTCGGGGTGCGGAGCCAAGGTAGCAACACGGCAGCGCTATAGAGCAGAGGGTTGCACGGATTTTCACGCTGTGGTTCATCCTCTCGAGCGAGAGAGACGGAGAGAGACGACACCGACGCGGTAGACATTTTCATGTTTTTAGCAAACATGTGTGTCGAGCGTTTCGTTTGGTATGATACGTGTCAACACGGCGGCTGCTGCTATTGCGTACTCCGTATAATACGTAGACAGAGCACACTACGGCTTGCTTGTTTTAGATCTACTGCGGCAGGTTAATGCTTCTTTCAGCAAGCGCCCATCAATGAAGAAGTAGAGAGTGATTTGCCGCTTTCACAGACTGCGGTGTTTTGGTTCAATCGGTTTTCTGTGAAGTCGCGGTGATGACCCCGCGTGCGCGTGCAACAATTGCCGAGGCATCATCCAGCTCCGTGAGGCATGTCGCAGAGTGTGAGGCATGTAGCAGAGCTTGGCGCACCTGTCGGCAGACGCGTGTCGCGTTGCTGCCCTGTCCTCCATTCTACGATTCAGGCGTCGTGATGAAGGCGGAGAGGCAGTATCGCCGCCAGCCCAGGTTGTGTCCGACGCATATACCACATATTCGCAGATCGCGCCTCTCCTACCTAACGTACTGCTAAGTTGCTGTACATGTCGAGTCAGTTTTTCACGATGTGGATTTGCCTGCATGTATGCATATCCATCATTCATGGAGATGTCTAGCTGGTGGCTTAGATGGCTGCTGAAGCCATATTGTTGGTCACGAATACGCTCCATTCCGAAACGCGCACACGATGTACTATTTGGACATCAGTGCCCGTCACTGACCTGGCGCCTCCCATAACTCTGGCGCTGAACTGCACTGCTGTATCCTAGGTGCCCCCCCCCCCCCGTCCATTGCTGGGCCCCTATGCATTTAACCATGTGCCTCTTGGTCAGAGCTGGGATCCCCCGCGTAATCCTGCTAATTGTTTTCCCCCTGGCTCTATATTCTGTATTCTAAATAGCTGTAGTTTGTAACTGGAACTTCGTTGCACGCATGCATTCAACTGCCTCAACCACTGGCTCTCTGATGATCTTGCCCCCCCCTCCGCCCCCGCCCACATCCGCCGACATCCTTGGGTGCCGCCCCACCCCAGAGGCAAGCGCACTTGCCGAACCGCACCGAGGTCATTGCCGCCGCCGCTGGGGAACGGCAGCAGCCAGCGCGACAGAACCATCGCCCCGCTCAGGGCCATCAACCAGGACACGCTCTTCTCGGCCAACGAGTGGATTGCGGGGGTGGCCGGAGGTTCGGTTGGCGTGCTGGGGACTCTGATACAGCTCGAGCTCAAACAGGTCAGTGGTAAATTTTCAGTCGTGAAGTGAAGCTTACACAGGACCGTGCATTGTGGAGAAATGCGTTCAGCGGCGTCATACTGCCCGCAAGCGAATTCCTGAAGCATTTGATTGGATCTTGTTATATCTCTGCTTTATACAACCCAAACCGTTGCAATCAGCCAAGACATTCCCACGCATGTGCGTCGTTGTTCTTGTGCGGCTTTTTACCGATTTATTATTTGTGTCTACCAATGAATCTTGTGTACGTCTGCCATGGCAGGGACGCCAGCGTGGTAGGCTTTCTTGGGAGAATCAGGGGTTCAGCTAATACGATGGAGTATGGTTCTGCTGTTGGTTCCACGATGGGTGAATCCCGTTCTCCTGTTCACCTCCGTTAACCCGACGCCTCTGCCCCACTCGTTGCTTTCTCTCCCTCTGTGCGGTGATTTCAATGGACGATAATCACGCCACAGGAGAAGCTCAAAACCCGGCGTAACTGCCCTTACTGCGACGGCAGCGGCAAGCTGGTGTGTGCCGTGTGCTTCTCGGCGGGAACGTTCACGGTGAAGCTGCCGGGATCCGACACTTACTCCACGTTGCCTTGCCCCGGGTGTGCAGGGAACAAGTACATCACCTGCTTGAACTGCAGGTGAGCCAGCCGGCACCCTTGGTGTTTTGAGGGCGGTGCTTTTAGCTGTCGTTTGTGCACGCCGCACGATCGCTCTAGCAGGTGGCGAATCGCTTGTTTCGGGTTCGCTGATTCAAGTCCGTACCAATCAGGGACAACATTCTGGATCATACATGTTCGCATTTGCGTGCACAAGGGTGATGGATGTCTGGGTTGATCTTGTGTTTGGTCTTGTCTGTTGCCAATTCGTTTTCGATGGAATCAGAATCCCTCCAACGGTGTGCTCGCATGCATTCCTACGACCCCTGTCGATCCCTGCCCTTCTGCATCAGATTTTGCCTATACCAGAGTGATTGTATCTCGCCGCCTGTTTTTATTTTGCTTCAGTTGCGAACACACGACGTCACACACGTGATTTTCTTTCAATGCCCTACTGTAGCTGGTCAACAATACTCCTCATTAGCCTTTCTTTGCGGTCTGTTGGCGACTCTTCCTATCTAAGGCTGTTCCGCCCTCTTATTTTAAGCGTTGGTATGATAGATCGATCGATTACTCTCCAGCGCCTCCTCTCCGTTCCGCATTCCGAGAATGCGGCGCACCTGCGTTCTCGCACAGTTCTTGGCCGTCAGGCCGTCCGTTGGCCATGGGTTAGGGTTGGGTTGGGTTCGGTTATGTTGGGTCGGCCACGGTGTGTGACACAATGCCGTGTACGGAGCTACGGTTCAACATCCGTTCAGACCCGAAGAAGTTACTACCAGGCCGTAGAGAGTAGATAGACCTCGTACTCCTGCACATTGGCTACGACACGCACCTGCAGCAATGCGTTCCTCTCATCCTGTCGTGCATGACATATGCATGTCAAATCAACCCACCCTGCTGCTACGTGCGCACCGCCCTTAACACCTCGACACTACCGCCCGATGCTCCCAGGGGGGACGGGAGGGCGGTGCCCCGAGAGCTGGACAGGAAAACAGCTGACGCTGCCGAGGTTGACCTTCGGCTAGAGGAGATCGGGATGGGCGGCATCGGCCAGTGAAATTAATTCACCCTGCGCCAGCCAACATCGTTGGTAGACTGTAGACACATCCGGCTGGAGCGAGTGGGCGAGCGGCGTCGAACAAATGTGCATGGTGCTTTTGGTTACAATCTGTGATGAGTCCTCGCAAGGATGAGACGTTATGGTACGGGGCTACTTCGGGTTTGGTGTTGGAGGTCTTTGGGGGGAAAAGGGCGTATACGCGTGACGGGTAATATGACACGACACCCGGCGCGCCAGAAGCAGATGGGGTAGTTGACGACCCCGTCTTGGTACTATGTGAACGTTCTCAACTGGTATGGTAGATTTTCCACCATCGTAGATATTCAGCCACTCTGTTCCGTGTTTTTTTTTTTCCTTCTTGTCGTGTTGCTGATCCTGATGATGTGGATGATAGCAGCCGTTGCGGGACAGGGTGCTGATGTACGGCACTGTTTCCTAGGGGGAGTCATGTTTGTCGTACCCGAACTGCTGTAGCAGTCTTAGACGATTTGTGAAGAGAAATTGAATTAGATTTAGGGAGACGACTGCGCGTGGCGGTAAGCTCACATCCTTCCCGCCTGCAGCAGTATCTCGTTCTATCCAAAATAGCGCAGGCCCCGCCATAAATTCTCTCGTGATTCGTTCGGGAGTCAATAGAGTCTTTTAGGCGATTTCGTCGTTTTCGCCAGCGTTTATGCATCGTGCGCGGAACGCCTTGCGCTTTGACTCGTTTTGTGTTTGCCAAAAAGAATAATATAGGGCGTGTGTTGTTTCGTATGTATCTGGACTCACTACACGCGCGCGTGGGCGAGAGCAGCGTCTTTGCTACCCTTGTGCTCATCTGGCTCTGCGGAGACATATGTTGCTGCTGTGTCAAGTCGGCAGGCGTTATGGTGCAGACGGGATGGATTGATACCGTTTCTCTGGGGGCAATGTGCTGTGCAAGCAGCAGCTGTTCTTGGCTTTATTACGTTTTTTCCAGCGTTAAAACGGAGAGACGGAAGAACCGAGCCCAGGGCAAGATTGTTCCGATGATCCAACTGTAAACGAGTCTCCGTGGCTGATGGTTCCGATACATGACATGCGTTTGTTTCGGTCCGGGACTACAAGTATGAGGTAGTTCGCGCCGTCGATTAATTTCGTTTCGAAACCAAAACCAACGCAAACCTTGGTGGTAAACCTTGGTGGTTGTGTGTAAATAAACAATTTTTCGGTTTCATCGTGTGGGAGAGGTGTACAGGAAAGGAGATCTCCAAAAAACATGACAAAATGAACACTATGTCGCTCTACAGCAGTTGACTACAGTAGTAGTACAATAACCTCCTTCGGGACGTGGGACATTTTTTCGTGGGAGTTCAAGGCCAGCGTTTTTGTGCTTTGGTGTTGTAAGGGTGAATTGTGGGCTATTCCGTTTTTATTTGGACTCAATACACACGCCGGTAGATACATTGGACACACGTTCAACGCCGACGAAGACGGTCTCGCTACAAACCTGCTGGTGTAACACGCCGCGTGCTCCGCTGTTGGTGGAAATGGTACTTTGGTATCGAAATGCCTCCTTCCATTTCTAAACAAGGGCACACACAGCTGGTGCTCCCGAGAGGCCCCTCCCCTGCACTGCTCTGTGTTTGTCACAGCCATTCATGATTGTGCCTAGAGTACTGGCTTCTGCACGAGGACACACGACGTGGTACGTGGAACAAAGATGGCCTCATCAACGACACACAAGCTAATTGCTTTCCTGCAGAACCCGGTCGTGCGTGTGGTACAAGCGACGTCCATTTTGCAATGCATCAACGAGTATGCCTTTGGCGTCACGGCGGTAAGCAAGCAAGAGACTTCTTCCATGCTTCGCACACACCATTTTGCGGCAGCTGAAGCCACCCCCAATGTGATGGTATGTGTTTGCAATATCGGGTGCTAGGGAGAGCTTCTGCTGCTGCTGCTGCTGCTGTTGTTGTCGTCGCCGTGGTCATCATTGTTGTTGTCGTTGTTTTTGCTTGTTTATTGTCTTGACCATCTCAAACCGAGGTCACGTGCATGATGAGTCGAGAGTCGAGAGTGTGCACCAAGGAGGACATGAGCACATGTTTTCGCTCGTCGCGACGACCGCAAACCATCACCATCGTCACAAACGCAACGCGGGTGTTCACGTCATGTGCCTTGTAGGTGACCACGTGACCACCTGCCTACGCCTGACTCAATAGCAGTTCTTTAGGTCTGCTGTCTGGACATGTATATCTCGAATGGGTAGTCTTTCTGTGTGTGTTTTTATTATTCCTTAATTAAACATTCCCTGTGGCCTCGTTGTGTGTCAGGGGGGGTGATTTTGTGCGTGCAGTTGGTTTGAATCACGGGGGTGGGGGGTGGGGGCATCGTTCTCGCGTGCACCGCCATTGTTGCTGTCTACTGGAATGCATACTGTACGAATAGGCATGCCACGTAGCCCGTGTTTGGCTCCTGTCCGTACATCTTGCTGACCTCCCTTCGGCCACGATGCATTTGTGGCTCTTTTCCCATCTTGACGCGCGGCTTTCCGTGCTTGCGCTCTCCCTCTCGTCATCGTATTTGGAGGTATCCGCGGGTGATGGTGCGTTGCCATCAGGGTGGTTTGTAAATATCAGGCGGCCTATTGTCTATTGTAACGTCGTGATGGGGATGCAGGAGTTATACCGCATACCGCATATTATGTCCATCTGATTCAGTGTGTAATTCAGCTGGTTTGGTGCAGATTGACTCTGGGCTGCATCGTGTTTTGCAAGGCGGCAAGCCAAGAACCAAGCACAGGAAAAGCAGCAGCAACCTGCATCCATCTGTGGCCGGGCTGCAATGTAGTTCCACACAGCCCTGGAAAGAAAACAGCAGTAGAGGGCGAATCTCGTTACACACGCGCTCTCTCTCCTTTTTCTCCGCTCAAACTGCCCTTGCCGACGACTCGCGCATCGCGCATGTACGCTGCATGGTGTTTCGCCTGCGCATTTTTTTCTTGCAGTGCTCCGGGCCGTCGATGATACCGGCGTTCAATCAGTCCGGCGACGTCATTTTCGCGGAGATGTTCTCTGCCAAGACTGGCCGCTTGGACAGGGGGGACGTCGTCATCGCCATACCCCCTCAAAACCCCAAGCTCAGGGTCTGCAAACGCATCATTGGCTTGGTGAGCCACGCGCTTTTTTTTTTTTTGCTGGACTACTACCCACGACAGCAGTAAATAGCAGCAGAGGTTTGTTCTGCTCCGAGCCATGTTCTGTTCACGAAAGGGTCGTCTCATGCCCGGCCAAACGAGGACGAGAACGATTTCCGCACCGCCACTGCCGGCAACTCTGTGGGGCTGCTTTGCTTTACTCCGTGTAGACTATTTGTTTCACTAACCCGCACAGTTAATCGATATATTTGTTTCGAGTTTTGTTTCGTCTTCCTCCTTTCGCTGCACCTTGAACCTGGACACATGTCATATGTTTGTACCGATTTGCGGGCTCCTCTTCTGTCATTGGTTCACGGCTTCAACTGTTATATCACCATCCATGCATGTGTCGCACGTACACGGGGAGTACCCAGACGAGCCCTCGCTACAATGGCCGTCTGTTTCATCACCGTCAATATCTTGAAATACTTCCTTTGGCGCGTTCGTAGTTCGTTTGGCGCGTTCGGCCCACCAATAAATAAGTACGCAGCGAACCGACCACCCTCCCGTCCATCGTTTTATTCTCCCAGCCTGGAGAGACAGTGATAGTGCGGTCGAGGTCGTGGTTCGACGACCGGCCAGAGTTTGTGCCCGAGGGTCACGTGTGGCTAGAAGGAGACAACCCCTCCAACTCCTCCGACTCCCGGACCTACGGCCCGATACCCCTGGCGATGGTTCGAGGCAGGGTGTTTTTTAAGGTGCGAGACGGAGCCGGAGGCCGATGCGCCCGATGACCGGTGGTTGCGACGGCGGTGTTGGTTTATGATGGTGTCATTTCTAGCCCAATCGCTGCCGCATTGCTCATCAGGTAGTTTGTACGGTTCAAGAGCCCTAATGCAAGCACCGTCCGTGTGGCACGTGTGTGACGCTTCATGTTTTTTCCTGTTGACGTCGGCGTTGAAGTCGTGCGACTCCTCCTCATCATTTGGGACCACAGACAACACCTCACGAAAGAGACAATTAAGAGCGGGCGAATAAGCCTCGATAAGTTGTCACACTTCCCGCCCCTCACCCCTCCCCGTTCCGCGCGTGGTCTGATGTGCAACGCAGGCATGGCCCCCGTCTGAAATCGGGCGCGTGGCACGGCGTGTGCCGGAGGCGGCGTCCGCGGTGCTACCGAGAGAAACGGCAGCCGACAGCAGTATTAGTGGTGGACTTGAAAGCGACGCACCAGTGCGGTTTGTGGCGACAGAGACAGTCGTGGACGAAAGAGGGAGAGGGGGGCAAGGAGAGACACGCCGGTAGCCGGCCGGAAAATCCAGCCCCCGCTTAATTAAACGCCTCTGAGACTTGTGTTGGTGCTTAGCAACAGCAGTGCGTGCCCCTCGACACTTTTAGTGCTTGTGCGGGTGGCCTTTGCGCAGGGCACAGTTTCGACTAATTTGATGCTGCAACACTCGGAACGTTTTTTCTTGAGGTGGAAGAGCATGGGCATGGGCTGTCAACAGCGTAAATAGCTCGAATGGCGTCACGTCCAAGTGCCAAACATGTGGTTCTTGGGCCATGATTGATCCACTTTTTAGCTACTATGTATTTCATCGAGCGATGTGAGACAGTCAAAACTCACTCAACTCTTGCGAACACACCGCGTACAACACGACAGAGTTTTCTGTCCACATACATGAAGACTGGGTCCTGAATCGAATCACGCTGGTCTGCTGCTGCTTCTGTCCCGTTGCTCTGTGCACCAGAGTCAAATTAGCTGCATACGGTCATCGTCCCGTACAAAGCTTGTTGCCGCATCACGAACAGCGTCGCAGCTCGAGATTAATTGAAGAATCCACGAGAAGGAAGGAGGTTCGGTTCTGTTCGAGGTATCGACCGATCTTGGAAATTGAACAGGACGGCAAAATAAGTCCGACCCACAACCACAGCAGAGCCTGCTTTGCGGTTTGGTGGGCTTTGGTGCTCTCGACCCGTCCACCCAAGCACTACGTGCAAACATCTCGAAGACGTTTTTCTCCCACAGAACATCCCACACGACACACAGAACAACAGTACATACGTAGTTACACCGACAAGTGACTCTCCCCAAACGAACGCCGTGGCACTGCTGGTACTTGCAGCCTACCGCGCGGGGAACAAAAGCACGACACAACACACAGCCAGCCCCCATCGAAATGCACAACCCGCGAGTTCATCCGCGCAAAAAAGCATGACTATGCATAGGAGGGACCCGCGTCGGAGGACACCTCACGTTGACTCTACATCTCGGATCGGAAGACATCCTGCGGAGCCCCTGGACGCGCAACGGCTTTCGCCCCCGCCTCCTTTCTACCACTCTCCACCCTGCCACGCCAGCAAATCCAGTCCAACCCTCACACTTTACCTTACCCACCTCCTTCGCCAACGTAACGGGTAAATAGCTCAGAATACACCTTACAAAGACCGTCGCAATTTCCGTTCAGAGACTTGACCTTCAAATTTGGTTTGACAGGCCCGAAGGCTTTACATACAGGTACAAACTCAACGACACCCCTTCGGCACTACTTTCAATAAGAAAAACGACTTCAAGAACGAAAAAAAATCCCTTGTTGTGTAGCATTCTAAAACTGCACCTAGCAGATACATAAAATTTCCGAGATACAGTGCCGACAATTTTTGCTCTTTTTGCTTAGATAACAAATAGTTAAACCGCTCCTGCTTCTAGGAAAGACCTTGGGGTATTCTCGAGAACTGCTGGTCGTCAAAAACATGAAACACGCACTCATCGTTGACCCCACTTCGACTACGGCCGTTTTGCGCAAATGCACACAAACGCGTCAGGATACGCACCTCAAAGCAGCAGCGAGGAGGCCCAGCCTGTTATGGCTGCTAAGCTAGCTTCTACGGGAGAGCTTCAGCGGCTCCACCGCAAAAACCCTTCGCCAATAAGCGTCACCGACAACAGAGAGACAGGGGTCACCAACTTGCACCAGCTCTTCGCCTCCCCACCCGAGCAAGAACCAAAAGCCACACACAATGTTGTCAACACAGCAGCGGCGGCGGAGGCGGTGGTGGTCCGCTTCCTACAAGCCAAGGAAGGCGTCCCGCGCGTGGGCTCGGACCGTCATTTGTCATGCCACCATGCCCAATCCCGTCACAGGGGGCGAAGCAATCCTGGCGCGGAACGGCGATCGTGGCGGGGACAACTGCTTTTGCCTTACCCAGTGCCCCCCCCGGCCACCTCCGCCCGCGCGTCCACTGCCCCTCTCACTCCCGATCCCACCCCCCCTGCCGGCGGCGGGGCTGCCGCCGAGCTTGGGGTTGCCCCTGTGCCTAACCGGGTAGCCCGCAGAGACTCCCGCGATGGACGCGGGGCCCTCTTGCCGGACCGGGGAGGGGGATTGCGTGCAGGTCGTGCCGGCGTGGCTGCCGCGCACAACGCCGTAGCCGTCGCCGCTGCAGGGGTCGCCGCCGCTACCGCCCGAGGAGAGTGCGGCCGAGCTGTGGTATGAAACAATCAGCGACGGGGGACGGGGGGGGGGGGGGGGCAGCGGGGTGTAGGAGCTGGCAAGGCAAGCAAGACCAATCGAAATGGCGAGAGAATATGCTTTTGGATACTCCCATGAGACGGCGCATCTTGATGCATCCAACCACATTCCAGAGCTCCGTTGTTGGATTCCCTCCCTGGCAATCGAGAACCGAAAGATGATGATTTTAGGTTTGATTTGAGAAACAAGATGCCAGTGCGGCTGACGAAACACTCACCTCGACTGGCCGGCCTCTGCGTCGCTCAGGCGTTTTCGGTGGTGCGGCTGAATAAACGGCGTCGCGGCCGGAGAGTTTTCGGCCGACTTCCCCGTTTGTGCGCTGGACTTGCTCTGTTTCCCAAACATCTTGGTCTTGTGTGTTCGTCATGATGCAAACGCAAAACAAACGTGGGACAAGCAGAGGGTCGTGCGATCGAGGCAAGACAGGTCAGAGTTGAGGGTGCAAACACAAAACATACAATTGAGGGCAGGCGAGCAAGCGAGCGCCGGGTGCACGAGAGCAATTATCCCGCGGAAACACGTACGGAACACGGTACGGAAGGTGGTGCGTTGTAGTATACTAAAAAGATCACGGGATGATCATCCACGCTTCAACCAACCCTCCAATGCTCAACGCACATGGCGGTGCAAGAAGCGGGCGCATCGCGAAGACCGCTAAACCGGCCCAGCCAAAAAGGACTTCGACAGCAACTCACAGACCGTCCCATCCCCGACCGGCATGACATGGTACGGAGGGCAAAGGTTGGTGCTACTCACCATAAGGCCGATCATGAACACGGTGGCCCCAACGAGGTGCTGCGGGGTGAAGGCCTTCTGGAAATACGCGAAGCTGAGCATCAAGGTCACCGCCTTTCGGGCCGTGGTCGTGATGGCCGAGTGGAGCGCGCCGAACCTCTTGGTCAACGCCACCGCGCAGCTGCCTCCCAAGAACCCGGCCCCGCAGTACAGCATCACCGCCACGAACGCGCGCGGGCCCTGACGCAAACGACAGAGTGACAACACAAAGAAGCAGAGATGAATACACGTGAATGGTGGTGGAACGAGGACGATGGTGACGGTCGTCAGCGAAAAAAGGCGCCGCCCTACTGCTGTATGGGGGAGGAAATCTCGAACAGTAAACGACGTCGCGTCAGGGAGCAGTTATATTCATGTCTAGATCAGTCGCTCGAGAGCGCGTGAGGGTAGGGTGGCTCGAGCGGTCGGTTGTTGAGCATCAACGCCAGTTCCCCTCGCCTTCGGTGTGACCGCTCAACTCAAGAAGAAAAACAAACACACTTGCGTGGGACAAATCAGCGTGTAACGCCCTGGCTCTTTCACCGCTGCCACTTGGCAGAGGTAAGTACCGAAACTTTGCCAACAAGCGCCGCCCACATCTGCGACTCTACTGCAGCGATGCATTGCATTAGTATCCTCCTCCTCCCGCTCCCACCTTTTCGTGCAAAAACATGAAACCAGAGATCAGCTCTCCAGAGAAGACGCAGTACGACGCCACGTACACGGTGCCGCACAGGTACGAGAACATGATCAGCTCATCCTGGCAGCTCGCGTACCCGTTCATCACCTCCTCCTGCGGCGGCATAACCAACGGTGGCGTGGGTCAAATGCCGGTCAGGACCGACCAAGCAACGTCGAGTTTGTTGAAAGAGGCGCCATAGGCGTGGCAGGCACTCGTAGTGCCTCATGCTTTACAGTGGTGGGAGAACAAAAAAGAAGGAAATGTTATCGACCGCGGCAACGTTTCTTTGTCACGACATCAACAGAATCGACGGTACGAATACATATCGCACCCACTTTGGGGCACGTGAAACAGCACGGCAGCCTGTTCCGAGCTACAAGAGAACACATCAAGTACACGCAGGCAAGAGGTGGTCTTGTGGAAGTGACCTGCCCGTCGCTTCTCTCCCTGTAGCCCGCCGCCTCCTACGATTGCAAGCCAGAAGACTTCTATCGACTACACCAAAGGCATGTCATGTGGTGAACAACATCATCCTACCATGGTCGACCCGAACCAGGACCACTCTCTGCACGCGCGCTTTCCCCGTCCCAAACGCAAGCCTAAGCAAGCCTGCGCACCTGCATGTTGATGTTGGCTGCGTCGATGACCAGCGCCAGCGAAATACACAGAATCCCTAGCAAGCTGCACGGCGTGTCCGATTCCGCCGAGGACCGAGTCTCCGCGTTCATGAACGTCGCCAAGCCTGTAACTATGAAACAAACCACGAGGCAGTCTCTCATCGAGTACCTCTTGCCCTACAACAGCAACAGCAGTTGGGTTGTACAATCATGCGCAGAAGACAGGGCGGGGGGGGCAGAGGAGAGGGGGAGGGGACACAGCGAAAACGATTGATAACGAGGTTGGAGAATCTTTATCGTGACACGCTTTGCTGGGGTGCCGTCAATCAGCACAAAGAGGCAACCCTGGTAGATACTTGCGTTCACGTGAAGGGCGGCAACAGTCGCTCGTGCATGTGCATCGTGTCATCGTGTCATCACCTGCTGCAAACGGGTCGACCATCTCGCCAACACTGCCAACACTCTCTGAGCTGTATAGCTCTTTTCGACAAGTTTCGTGTCGTTGTCCGTGTCGCAAGCCCGACCAGCCAAGGCTAGTTCAACAAACGCCAGGGGGAGGGGGGGGTCACTTGTCGTACCTGCCACACCACCCCGAAGCACATGATGGGCACCATTCTGGACGACTTGAAGAGGACCTTTGCCGGGTAGTTGAGGTACATCATCGACACGTTCGTCAGTCCCTGCATCACCGCCTGAGAAAGCAGAGGACAACCGAGACGAAGCGTGGCATACACAGACGTGCAGCCGACAGGGGGCGTTCAACTGCGAGCAAGCACCACCACAGCAGGGGCTATACAATACTCCGACAGCACACCACCAAGACATGAAACAATTTTAACCCCCACGTCGCTGTAAACGGGCATTTTTCCATGCGGGGGCATGACAGCCTCCTTCTGCGCCTCATCGCCTATCCAGGCCAATCGGGAACAAGCGTAAGATGAAAGTCATGTTGGAATTGGGCCTGTGCTCTCGGCCGATGAGATCGTTGCTGCAGATGGACACAAGACGTTCTCGTGCCGCGATGAGGCACGCGCTATATTGTACCTTGCCGTGACCCAGCCGGCCCCCTAATGCTCTACCTCTGCTTGCACACGACACCCACCTGCAAGAAACCCAGGCCGAAGTATGTCCTCAGCGGGACCTTCCGGACCGTCTCGCGGTGGACTCCTCTCCGCAACGCCGCGCAGGTGGCGTAACCGAAAAACTGGAGGAAGGTCATGAACAGCCCGAACTTGCGTTCGAAGATTTTCACGACGAGGTACTCCTGCCACAAAGGGAGAGAGAGGCGACGCGGGGCGCGCTTGTCAAACATGGTGTCGGTGACCTTGTTGGATCGCTTGCAACCGGTTGCGGCAACGACCATCCTTCTGCATTCGACGGGCCATGATAAGAGGTTTGATGTTGAGGCAAGAACTGTATGCATACAATCGGTCAATTTTTGCCTCAAAAACACAACAGCAGTTGCGTGTTACGAGAAAAAGAGCGAACCAGACGATTTAAGTTACGGACCAAAACTCATCCACCCAAGAAACATGATCAACTCAAAATACAATCAATTATCTTCCATAGAATCTGGAGTTCCGCTCTCGACAGCACACTCCCTTCACACACCACTCACGTGCGCATCACCCATACACCCGCCCGACAACACTAAAAGCCCTGGACCGAGCCCAACCTCTCGCCTGCGAAACAGCCAAGATCCCTCCATCACCTGCATGTACCCGTAGATGAGCAGGAAGAAGAATACGCCGCCGACGAGCAGCGCAACCTGCTGGGTCGGAGGCAGGTGTCCGATCTCCACCCCGAGCACCTTGAACCCGTGGTCCGCCCACTGCTCTCTGTCCCTCTTGAGCTGCTCCACGTTGCTCTTGCGGTCCATTAGCTGCGGCACCTGAGTCGCTTTCGCCGCAGCCTTCCGGGAAAGGCCCCACCGGAAGCGCCTGCCCCCCAGGCTCTTCCCCTGTCGTGCAAAGAGTCGGCGGCGGATGTGGCCAATCAGCATCCCTCGTCGTCCCACATAACCACGTGCGGTGCTTGCTAGAAAACTACGACCTGCCGCGCCTCCCATTTGCGGGCGGTTGCCTCAGGTTCTCATCAGTGAGTGCGGAGTGCGCAAGCCAAGAGGGCGGTGTGTGAACAGCGACGCGGCTTCGCGGCAGTGCAAGGCAATCAAGGAAAACAGTGCCGACGGAATGCCCTCACAAATGAGTCAACTGCCCCGGTTCATTCATTTTAGGCCGCAAAAAAGGAGCTTGAATAACTAATGGTACACCGCAAGCACTGAGATCGCGTGGTGTTGGCCGCGTGGGAAAGTACACACAGCAGTGCGGAACCTCCAATATCGTCAAGAAGGTATAATTTCCAAACCTGAGAACAGAAGAAAAGGTTCACAGAGGGAGGAAGCATGAGATCCTCCATTCCGAGACAAGCGTCACGCCTTCCTTCGTCTCAGAGGGAAAGGACAACTCAACGCATCCCAAGCCTTCCGCGTATTCTCGCGCGAATCAAGACACCACATGGTCTATCTTCGCATGATCAACATCACTTTTTGTATCTGCTCTGCGACAAACCTGGGACGACCCCAACCGCTCCCGATCCTCGTCCTGCGCCGAGTCTTCCCCGGCCCCTTGCTCCTCCTCGCGGTACAGGCGAACCAGATCACCCGTCGTCAGCCCGGCCCGCCCGGCCCTGTTCATCGAACCGCCGCCGCCGCCGCCGCCGCGGGCAGACAGCCCCCCGGCCGAGGCCTCCACACCGCACCTGGCATCGACGCCCTCCACTTCCTCCCGTAGGAAAGGATCCATCTCGCTAACGTCCCGCAGCTCCCCCACATCCGTCACCACGCCGGCACTCCTCGTCTCCAACGCTGACGTCGCGCTGGACGCGTCCGCCGCCTGCTGGTCCGGCCTGGAGGGCACGAAGACCGCGCTCTGGGACCGGTGGAGGGGCCCCCCGTTCGCCGCCGCCGCCGCCGCCGCCGCCGCCGCTGCCGCTGCCTTAGTCGCGTCGGCGCTCTCGGTCCCGCCCCCGGCGATGGAGAGGAGGCCCACCCCCTCCTCGGCCTCCACGAGGAAGTCGCAGTTGTTGGACGACGAAGACTTCCTGCGGGCGCGCTCCCTCTGCTGCCTCGCCACGTTCCTCTGCTTTCTCGCGAGGGCGGAGAAGTACGAGTTCACCCCGCGGCGCGCGCGCGTCAGCAGGTCGCCCACCCCGCGAAGAAGGGTCTCCTCCTCGTCGTGCCCCTTGCGGTTGCTTCCCGGGGTGTTGGGAGGCTCTTGCCTTTGCACGCCGCCGCCGCCGACGCCGCCGCCGACGCCGCCGCTTCGGCCGTCCTGACGCGGGTCGCCGATCCCAGCTACCCCATCTCGGTTTCGGTGGTGATGGTGATGGTGAGGATGCCCATTGGTGTTGCCGTGGCCGTTGGCGTTAGCCGTCGACATAGACAGGCCGCTGTGCATCACCTGCACTGCGTCCTGTTCCAGCAAAACATGTACAAGAGCAGCACGAGGTAACCAAGGGCGGGGTAATCGAACTTTCAGACACAAAACAGAGCGAATACAAGGGACGCGATTCTCCCTTGCTCAACGCTATCAGCCACTTACAGAAGCCCGCCCCGTGCATGGACGCAACAACACGAACGAACGCGGGACTTGTGAATGTACCCTGCGTGGGACGCCCCCCCCCTCCTACTTCTTGCTTGGGATGGTGGTACTGCTGAAGCACAGGGAAATTTGGAGGTTTCTTGGGAGTTCACAATATTTTTTATGCACAAGTGACTACGACTACCAGTTACGACGCACGCGAACGCCGCCATTTTCTTTCCCTCGGATCAGACAGAGTGAACGATGGAATCACGACAGGAGAGAAAGCTATGCGAGATCATGGTTCATCCGCGAGGGGGCGCCTCCAAAATTCTACGACTGCACCTCTCGCTGAACGAGGGGCAGCCTGCAGGCCGGCTCCAATCGCCGTGGCGGTTGATTCCGAATTTTCTACCAAGGATGTCTTCCAAGGTCCTGGGCGCAGGTCATGGTGGGATAGGAGCTAGGAGCGGCCTTGGGGCACAAAGTACCACTGTACTGCAACGACGTGGAACACCGGTGGCGCCGAAGTTGCCTGCCGAGAGCTGAAAGAGCCGTGTGCCATGTATGCATAACAGCAGGAAGCGCTTCATGTGCACGTAGCGGCGCAACATCGTTTCTTCCGCTCAGAGCAAAACCATAGGATACCAACAGCTTACGGATGGAGGTGATTTGGTTGAGACGCCCCTACGCTTCCGTTCCGTGCCGACCCAACGCTTGTGGGAAGATCGCGAGGTCGTGACCCACCTGAGCTCATACCTTCTACGGGTCAAACTGAGGAGGGGTTGACTAAACGGGAAAAAAACATGGAGTACAGTGGTAGTTGTCGCTCAACCATCGAGGGCGTGCATTTTCTGTTCTGTGCATCATATGCATTCAGTCAAGATACAATATGCATATGCATATGACACGACAACACGCAGCACGCAGCACGCACAAACGCGGCCTTACTGGCGGAGAAGCCCTCCGACAACAATACCGTACGCAAGCGTCTTCGCGGTTTGTCCCGCTGAATGCTGTTTCTCTATTTGAGAGTCGATTACACGAGCTGTCGATGCTACATAACCGAAAGAGCAAGTACAGATGCATATATCGATGTGTACAGCAGTAGTTGTTGTCTTCCCAATAAAAACCGTTCCGGTCTCCGCTCAAGTACCTTGTCATGTACTACAACGTACTGGTCCAACAGACGCGAATGCCTTCCTCCGTGGTCACAAGACAACTACGGTACACTCCAAAAAAGGAGGTATGTATGCATACACCTTTCCAAAAATCAAACAAACCTGGACCCGAAAAGTCCTCCGAGACGCGATTTGTCACCCAAACGAAGAAGAAAACTAACCGGGATATGTATATATTTTTTATTGTACCATTATTATTATTATTTTTTTTTTTGTCTTCACTTCAAATCAGCGCTCACAGCACTAGTGCCGTTTACTCCAACCCGTGGTCACACAGAAGAGCCCCTCTCTACCCTCCCCTCTTGCGGTACTTTGCCTTCGATTTTTAATGCGAGAAGAGTTCAGCACTCTCTTCCCTCTGTGTACACACGAACTACTTGTAGCGCAATAAATGGTAAGGATAAATACACACACAGAAAGGCTATTAAGTAGCACCGCAATTACTTGTTTGGGCACCTGTGACAAACATCAATGGACAAGTCGGATATTACAATACAGTAGTCAGACATCAACAGCTTTTTCACACCGTGTCCACCGCCTACAGCCACAGACACGTGCACACCCCATTGTTAAGCTTAAAAAGGAGGGTTGAGGAGAGGAGGATGGGGCGGCTGTGTTCTTGCAAGGACGGGCCGTGTATGTGCGATAGAATACCATATGGTATGTAGGTGACCCGTCAAAAATAGAACGTACAGTGTTGTTGTTGTTGTTGTTGTTGTTGTTGTTGTTGTTGTTGTTGTTGTTGTCTTCACATTAAAAACCGTTCCGTTCTCTCTGCCTAGTACCTTCTTCTGTCCGTACTAGTCCAACACTTGACGGGGTCGATTCCCGTGGTCACAGGCTAACTTACCCAAAAAGGTATACGAAAATAAAATGGACCCGAGAGTCCGCAAGCCGATAAAGTCAACGACAGATAGTCTAGTCCACTCCGCAATAAGTTCTCCATATTGTGCACGTGATACTTACGGTGTATTGTGCACATGATACGATTTTGTGGGATAAAAAACATCAATCCGATGCCACCAGTGGCGCGCCACGCCAGCCGCGTGAGCCTAAGGAGCAACAACCCAACTCGCCTTCCCGTCCGCCTGGCCGCCGTGCTGGTGACTGAGCCGCCGGCCATCGTCGCATCCCTGGCGCGCAAAACCTTCCGCAGTGCCTGAGCCCGAAGCTACACCGGTTTCCATTCCGTCTTTCATAGACGTCTCCTGCGACGTCATTGTAGAGCCCTCGCCTATAATGTTAAATTACACCGGATTTCAGGTGCACAGCAATAAAGAGGTCACACACGCGTGATTCATGTGTCAGAGTCAGAGAGTCGAGGTGAGACAGAGACAAGCTCTGCCTTGTACACTAAATAGGCTTCTCGCACGGATTTTGAGAGAACATGCCACATCCCACTCACTACAATAATGCTGTAGGAACTGCAACACATCCCTCCCGAACTGCTGTACATACATCAGTAGTACATGTGGGTAGTTGTGCCTCTGTCACGTAATTTTCAGGCCGGTCGGCATAAAACTGGTACTAATTTAGTGTAAAATATATTCTCGCTCAACCGTGCTTTGTTGGATTGTGCCGGCTGTACTTGATGACGAGTGCTAGACAAAGCTAGCACAAAGACAGGATGTCCACCAGCTTACCCGATCAACGCCCATGCTAGATAAGATGGAGGAACAGCAGAGGCTTGTCGTCGGGACCGCTTCTAGAACATACCACAAACACACCGATTTTTGCGGCATAACACACAAGCTACGACACACACGGCGATATGTGTTCGTTGGGAGGATGTTACGTGCAGCCGTGCGTTTTCTCTTGTGCGGGGGAAGAGTTGGGTTCAGCGCCAGCGACACTGCTGCTATGACATGCATCTGTAACTACTTCAGGATTAGGCGAGGTGCTCGTCTCTCTCTACTCTCTGTGCATCCATCCTTCCAATCCGCAGCGCCAGCGGCAATACGTAAACACGCGCACTTTGTAGAAATTCTCACAAAAAAGTTGAGCCGAGTTATCTCTTATGTACTCGAAGACGCTCGCCCTTCTAAGGTTACCCAACAAGGGGGGGCGTGTCGGACTACACGCTCACCTTCCAATCTCCTCCACGGTCCACTGTTATGTCGATGGTGAAGACGGATGGCGGAGTGGCGCATCCGATCAGAAGCAGTAGGTAGGGCCAACTCACGAACACGCAAGTTGGCTCTCGAGCTCTCCCCTCACACACACACCGCGTTCGGTCCTTCTTTCCTATCTCTGGTTCCTCCACGCTCTCCTGCTACTGCTGTCTCCGACCATAGACAGGCCAGAGAGGGTATCGCTTTCCTCTCTCCTTGTTCCTGGTCCTCTTTGCTCCTTCCCCTCTCCTTGTGTCTCCGGTCTCCGGGGGATCGAGTCTGTCTGTCTATCGATGTGTTTGTTGCCTGGGGTGCACACGGGGTAAACGCGAAAAAAAAAAAAGAAGCTCTTTTTCTTTGTTTCGCGTGTGGTGTGAAGAACTTTTTCACTTTTTCATGTGCTGGAACCCCCCACCACTGCACGGGCGGTTATATTATTGTAGAACATAAGTTGCAATGATTCTTTTGTCTCCGATCTACACACCCATAGATCTATCTGATGTCTATCTGTAGGTGGTGGGGTCCAACTGACGCGTGCTATGGGATTTGGCCGGCTGACGCATTGGCGCATGTACGCAGTCTCCGCCATGCAGGCCTAAGGAGCAACGTAGTACGTGTATTAGTCGTCGTTGAAAGCCCGTCCTCCACTGCTAGACTATATAGTACATTCCTTGAAAGGGAACAGAACACAACACAAAATCAACGAACATCTAGACGAGAGTACATTGTACAAGTATGCATACGAAAGATTAGATGCTCATTGTTGTCGTGTTGAGAGTGTACATAGTCTATGTTGTGTCTCCGCCGGTCTCCGATCAGTAGACTACACGTTCTAGTATCTAATACCTGTACCGGTCAAACTGACACGTGCTATGGGATTTGACCGGCTGACCCAATGACGCATGTATGCACGCCGCCATGCAGGTCTAGACTATACGGGGGCGAAGTCGTCGTTCGAAAGACTTCCTCCACCATTCTTTAAAACTTAAAACGAATACTAATTATTGTCGTCGAGTAGATAATGTTTTGTGTTGTCTCCGCCCGTCTCCGATCAATCAGTACACCTTCTGAGAAGGTAATTTTCGTTTTCATGGAAGCACCACAGACAGGTAAGATGATGAGTGCGGGGACCACTCACGTAGTTAGTGGCGATTCCGGTCGGAACATGCCAGCAGGCGTGTGAGGCGGGAGGTTACACAACGTCGTGTGGCAACGTGCAAGTGCTGCGCGAAAGCGAAATGTGGCGAATACCACAAGAGAACTGTAGTCTACGTACGTACGTTCTTCGCCGTTGAGACAAGAGAAGTTCGACGATTGGGCGCTGTACCAGTAGTACTGCTGCTGTTGTTTCAGAACATATGCTCTGCTGGTACTCGAGCATCCCATGCGTCATCTCCCTTACAGCACTTCTCTGGACGTCTGCTCCTGTTCTCCTCCCATCTACCTCACGGTTGATGGGGTGGCCACGAAAGTTAGTGAGTGGAAACGATCATCACTCCATGAAGCATGCGTACGAGTAGATATCACATGCAACGCACGAACACTTGCACACTTAGAGGCCGAAGACTCTCTCGTCCAGTTCTCACTTTTTACAACAGAGTGCACGCATGGTGTCGTCGTATGCATACAATAGCGCATACCAAAGTAGCACCTTGGCGTGTAGCGGGCCACGAAAAATGCTCACCCGAGCCTCGTAACGCCCTTGCACAATTAAGGAATAATAAAAACACACACAGAAAGACTACCCATTCGAGATATATCCACAGTCGAACGGGATGTGGTGGAGTCTTTTCAGTGAGTGGAGGGCACAATGAACTCCTTCTTCCCGAGGTAAGACAAACAAAAAGGGGCTCTCTTCCGGTGGCACATGCACACCGCGCGGCGCTCGTACGACAGACACCCTGATGGTATGCGAAGAGGGAAACCCCTCTCGCCTCTTCAGCGCAGGCCGACACCTTGTGCGGTGTAGGACTATCCTACCAACGAGCGAATCGGACTCAGGCGATGATCCAAAAACAAAGGCCTTCTTGGGGCAAAGACAGCCACAAAAAAAACACCGAAATCAACAGCCTAACGAACGTCAAACAACACTATGCTGTTGCAGACCTCCCCCGTACTTGGGACGCTCACCACCAGTCAGCTAGTTCCCACACGAAGACATCCATCTCGGTGTCGAGCACAAGCTAGAGGGCGCTGGAAACATTCATCATTCAACCCCGTTTTCCTGTGTGCCGCAGAAATTGTTGCTCAATAGCGCCACCACGAGTACGATACATGTCTACAGAACCAAACAGGGTCGCTTTAGAATCGGAGCGGGTCGAGGATCTCGAACTGCACGACGCTGTTTCCTCTGATGATGACCATCCCCATCTTCTTGTCGGAGGAGGCGGGGTCTGTCGTCTCGTCTAGCACCAGGTTCATGAACGGGTCGTAACCTCGCAAGACGCCCTGAAAGGGCGAGCAATCCGTCAGGTCACGACAAAACAGCAATTGATATTAACCTCAGCCCGCGGCCAAGGACAAAAATGCGGGCGGACAAAGGCCTGCGCCGGTGATGGCTTTGTGAGCGATAGTCCCGTGTGAAGAGTACGATGGTGGGAAACAGAGGATCGCCCCTGGGATGCATGTGTTCGGTCTACCGATATCGTGACCAAAGAGCTTCGCCGGATTTTCGAGGGCATGCATACTTGTACGTCTTCCTCAACGTCAACCAAAGGGTTTAAAAAGGTCACGTTGGAGGAGGGGCGGCGCTCGGTTGACGGGCGTGTCCAGGGTCAGGCATGGCCCTTTGTGTGAGATAAGTTGATCGCAACCAGAATCGGAGGCGCGGAGAACCGTTTGCCGGCACACTGATTGCTCGCATCTTTTTTCGACGCCTGAACGGTCGAGTACTGCTGTAATGCACTGGAGTCACCAAGAAGAGGTTGCTCAAATAGGCCTACGTATACCCGTCTACACACCGAAGAAGTGCAGAAGTGCAGCAGAGCGTTGTGACTCCAAACGGGTTGACCGATGATCCAATCGCAACGTAAATGCGCTGTTGGCGTTGTAATACGCTGTTGGCGGTTACTACGGGATCCAACACAGGAGATTCCCTCGCTGGGCATGTCCAGAGATGCAGAGGGTCGCGTACACGCCGGGCTCCACTTCTGGAACGGTCGCACGTCTAGACTAAAGCTGAAAAAAAGGCCGGCTCTACGGGGATTTACCATGGGTATTTCTTTCAGCGATATGGTAGCAAGGGCGTTCAACAACGTGCTGAGGTACACGTATTCTAGTCTAGCACCTTGACGACAACTCGTTACTTTCGTACGCTCACCTTGACTGTTCTGTTTCCATTGAGCTTCAGCGACAACGTCTTGTCCATGTAGCGTTTCAAGTCCGGCCCTCCCTTAGCCATCTTCCCTTACAATCTCGGTGCACCTGATAATGAAAAGAGATCAGGGGAAGCACAATTCAACGGCGGCAAAACTTCAAAACTTCATTTGGTATCTCAATCTACGACACTTCATAGCAGCCAGCTGCTAGCAACCCTGTGACAGCAGCCTGACAGAGAACACGCTGCTGTGTGCCGTGCCCGTGAAGTAGCCCAAAACATTTGAATAAAAGGAAGCTCCGTGGTGGTGTCTTTTGCTACTTTGCCAGCCTGCACAGATTAAACATAACCTTGCCCACCTGGATCCTAGTGTGTCGTCCTTGTCTAGCACACAGCCCACGCGTGACGAGAAATAGAGAGAGAGAGAGGCAGAGAGAGGAGATAGGCAGGGGGGGAGAGAGACAGCCAACACTCTCAGACAACCCAGGCGCCAGGGCGGTTCGTGGCTACCCGCACAGCCGTTGGCAGGGTAACTAGAAAATAATAGAATCACGGGGCCCCCGTTGAGGACCTCGGCAGAGCTCACTGCCTTTATCTCGGACTTGGACGTTGCACAGCTCCCAGTACCACCCCAACAAGTGCTATAGTTGTGCACGGACACAAAGAGGTGAGCCCACTCAAGTTGAAGCGTGTATGGTGCAATAGCACAAGCAAGCTTGTTTAGATGTTTTCTGCAGTGCCATCTCTGATGAACTTACAGCTGCAGCAGAGCAGCGGTGCAACGAAGTCGATCGTATCTGCTGCGTTGTGCGAAGGTGTACTGCTGTAGCGTGGAGTACGAGCAAACTCTACCCGTGCCTTAGGTCGCAGGGCAATGTGCCTGTCTTCAGGCGATTCCAACGCTTGTGTGAAGTAAGTTCTTGGCCAACGTGGCTGTAGCAACCCTAGGTGACAGCGGTGTGTCTACGTAGTTTACGGCAGTACCGTGTGAGCACCAGCAAGTGTTTGTTCCAGCTGAACGATTGCGAGACACGCGGTGTTTCCATCTGGCTCCGGCGCCGCGTTGGAAGCGTGTATGTAGTATGTAGTGCGGTTTGGGGAGATTTCAGGCCCACTTGGAATTGTGCTCTGTACTTAAAAGTAGACAAATGCTGTACCGAAGACAAACGAGATGCCATACTTGTACTTGAACATTACGGAAAGGAACCGGTACGGCCATGATCGCCGCAACCAACTCCTAGGTATGCTTGCAGTCACAAGTAACTCTGCGCTGCACGGGTCTCCCGCTGGGTTACTTTTGTTCAATCCGTCTCGGTTGTTCAGTCCAGCTTATCAGCCGATCTGGCAGCCCCTAACAGAGCCAATGGAGGACGCTCGAGATGAGGGAGAACCTTGCGATGCACGCACAGGATAGCGTGGGCATCGCCACGAGCGCGCAGGTGTAGAAAGAGGTAGACAGACAGACAGACAGCCGCGAGGTACGGGTTTGATACATGCCAGCTCAAGCTAACCCCTCCCGTACACTCCCTGCCGCGTGCTCGGTGCCTTGTTGCGCGTTCGTGGCAGCTTTTAAAAGCCGTTGCATGCTCGCACACTTGCTGTCTTCTGCAGCTTTCCTCCTGCTTTCACCCCTGATTTCATCGAGCATGCTCTGCCACTCCGCTGCCGGTCCCGCTCGAGGAGCGGGGCACGCCACGGCCGCGATGGACGGCACAAGGCAGCACACGTCACAGCCAATCGTCACGGGTACTTCGGTTCTGGGCATCAAGTACAAGTGAGGTCTACAAGGATGGTGGCGTAGAGCTACCACGACAATCGTTCGATTTCGATCTTTTGTAGACATGGTGCGATCGACGTGCACGGCGGTGGATGAAAGACGGAATCGAGTCGGTGCGATCGGTGTCGCGTTCGGGCTGTTTGCATACCCCTACCGCCGTTGCGTGGGTCCATCGATGAAGGCATCTTGGAAATCTACGTTCCAAAGCTCGAGTCTGGCAGTCTGAAGCGGAATTCTACTTGTTGTGCTCTGGTAGATATTATAGCGACCTTCCGTATCAGCCTGTCTCACAAAGACGACAACACCAACCGCTAGCCGTGCTCTCGAGAGGTTGCTCGGGCGTTGCTGGGTGAGATCTGAACGTCGAGCACGAGCCTAGGGGATCGTTACGCTCTATAGCCAGTACAGTACACGGTGCGAGCGAAAAGCTGATCACGTCTGCCTAGCACGCGTGCGATCTCTAGCGCATGCAGAGGCCAAGGTGGAGTGAAATATATGCCCTCTCGTGTGTGTGGTGGCCCCCGTTGTTTCGTGACGGGCAGGGACGGAGTGATGCTGGCGGCGGATACCTTGGCGTCGTACGGCAGCTTGGCCCGCTACAAGAACGTCGAACGCCTCAAACCGTGAGTTTTTTCATGAGATTCATGCCTAGTTTTTACGGTGCTCCGGGCGTGTGCTCCCCGCAGCACCGCCTTGACCGCTGGGTTCGATGTGAGGGATGCCTGGTTGTTGTCGTTTTGGGGCGGGGCGATGCGTTCGATAGTCGGCGTTGGTGTCGTTTTAGGAAACACCGAACTCGTTGCTGTGTATGTCTGATGCGTTGCAGTTGTGTCCCGCCCGACATGTGATGCTGCTGCGTTCATCGCGTGTACGTTGTGTGATGGTCAATGAGCACCGAAAGTTCTTCGTTTCAAGCATACAGACAATTCTCAGGCAAAGGCCGCAACGTGTCGACACCTGGGCCACCTGGTTTCCGTTCCATCTATCCATGTCGTGTTGATATATCTGCGTGGGGTCGGTAGATATGATTCGCCACTGTAAGTAAGCTGTCGCTGGCGAACACTTTTTGGGTGACTTTACTCTTCTCTTGATGCAGGGTGGGTGAGTGCACGCTGATCGGGGCTTCGGGGGAGTACTCGGACTTCCAGCACATCATGGAGACCCTCGAAGATTACCACCAGTACGACGTCAACATGGACGACGGCTTCGAGAGGAGTCCCGCAGAGATCTACAACCTGCTGAGGACCATCATGTACAACCGCAGGTGAGCCTTCGCTGCTTCTTGCTCCACTCCACATGCTGGCGGATTTCGTGACGCGTTTTTCGACGTACGTAGCTGGCTGCCTGACTGACTGTCTGAATTGAGTTCTGACCACACCCAGCCACGACCATATTTGTGTGCGCGCCAGCTGTTTGGTGGAACCGACTACACTGCTGTGAAGTAAGGGTGATATTTCGCACCCATGCGATCGCTCTGTGTTCCATCTGGATATGGGTGTGGGTGTTGATTGTCTTCACGAAAACCATCTGCATGCGCCCGTCCTGTGTTTCCATCTGTCGCGTCTCTCACGGCGAACAGAAACAAATTCAACCCGCTGTGGAACTACCTGCTCATCGCCGGCTGCAAGAAGGACGGTACCGCTTTCCTTGGCTCTGTTGACCACATCGGGTGAGAAATCAGCCGTAGGAGTATCCCTTCTACAGTAGCACCGACTTTTTGAGGATTCACAAGGAAGCAGGGAAATAAATCGCTGTGTCGATGTCGGGCCGGTGAACCACATGAAGCGATACTGCTGTGCGCTGAAAATGTGTGCAGGGGTCGTGGAATGATGCAGAGTTTTGAAGGCAGCAATGCCAGGACTCATTTTTCTACTTGTAGCTTTTTGTTTGGCGACGGAAGATCAATCGTTGATGCCTCTCTTGTGCGTCGTTTCTTCCTGGACTGCTGTACCCCGCATGGTCATTTCCACATGCGTGCCTCAATATCTGTGCCTAAATTGAAATCCTGACATCAACGGTGCTGGGGCTTGCTCACAATGACAGGACTTGCTATGAGGACAACATTCTGGCCACGGGTTTCGGTGGACACCTGGCGCTGCCCATCCTTCGCAAGAAGTGGAGGCCGGACCTGGAGGAGGGAGAGGCTAGGTGAAAGCTAGGAACAATCCTTGGAACAATCCCCTCAAGTCGCCAATGCGGAGCTCGGTTTGGTCGCTGTGTGAAATCGAGGCGGGCGGAGTTTGTATTTGACGAAATTTCAGCAACCGGATCCGTCCTTATTTGGTGCAAACGGTTAAAGGTGCTTCGCCCTACCGTGTCTATCATCAGCTTGATTGCAGACCTTTGACATCGAGAAATATGAAAGATATATCCACGGGCTGATTATTTCTAGGCACCGATCGATGACGATGAACCAAACCCGGGAGATTGATGCCAGATGGGCATTGTAGAATGAGGACGAATCACCCACCGAGAGAGATGGACCAGATCCGTGTTTCTCCCCTCGTCCCTCTAACCTGTCTGTCCTGCTGCTTTTGCGTGCGGTGGTTGGATCTATAATGAAAGGGCTTTGCTGGAGGACTGCATGCGGGTGCTCTTTTACCGCGATTGCCGGGCGCTGAACCGGATCCAGATCGCGAAGGCCACCGCGGAGGGCACGGTCGTCAGCGACGCGTACAAGGTACCACGGGGGCACACCCGCGGAGAGTTGCTCGCACATCCTAAACGTTTCGCATGCGCGAGGTTACTCCTGTGGAACACGCCCTTGCGACGTCGTTTACTATTGGTATTGATGCCGATGGTCCTTTGGGACGCAGCAGACTGCTGTGTCGCACATCCTTCTCACGTGGAGGTCGAAACTCCCATCCAAAAGCTGAAGAGGTATCAGCGGAAATGGTAGCACCTTTGTCGACCTGCCTCCTCGTCACGGGTCGTCCCTACCTTCCCGCACCGCTACAGCAGTATCGAGGTTTACCCCGTGTTTTCTTCTCTACATGCAATTCTTGTTTGCCGTTGTCTCGCAGGTGGACACAGAATGGAGCTTGGCCTCGTTTAGCCAGCCGAAGGCCGGGCAGGATACTGACGGGAGCTGGTGATGACGACATGTCTAGGTTGTTTAGGAAGGCCGGGCGGGCTTGGGGACAGTCGCGCGTGGGTTGCCCGCAAGGTGTTGCAGGCGGGGTGCTGATGACCATCTGGCGGCAGCTTCCTAGCGCAAAGTGTGTATCCTCGTGACACTAACACCATTGATTGTTTTTCCCAAAGGGGGGGAAGGCATTGGTAGGTGTGACTGCTCCGTCACTCCTGCTGGTGTCTCTTGGAACAAGCTCTGACGATGCAGGCACCAATTTTGGTTGGTCGACGTTCGGGCGGCATCTTTCTTGGCACTACTGCTGTATTGTTCTAGTGGGCAAGTAGTGTGTGGGTGGCGCGGGCGAAATAACCTAACCAGATGGCCGGAGTGCCGCCAACTGTAATAATCACACCTGCCGTTATGATGGCGGGATACACCTCTCCACCTCGCACATGCAAGATTAAGATTGGTATGCAGCGCCCGAAGCCGCAGATACCCCCTTGACACTGAAGTGTGGATGCCCCGTGGCCTTCGACCTTTGGTTGCTTTAACACTCTCACTACCCTCGCATCTACGCAAGCAAGCCATGGTTACACCATGAGCATGTGCAACTTCACCGATACGTACCCGAATAGTGCAGCCCTACCCCGGATACAGCTGGAGTCCCGCCCATTCCAATGGTGCTGTTGATGGACTTAATTGTAACGGTGGGGGTACACTGTCCACATGAACAACAGTCCCATATCGTGAATCATGCGCTTCTTTGGAGCTGCCCCACTGGAGCGCTGAAGGGTTGGGTTTCGTAGACTGTGCTTACTCCACGGAGATGGTTTTCCCAGATGCGGAGCGATAAATACGATCGTTGACGGCAGCCGCCATGTCGCCGTTGCTTTTGCTCGGGAGACCTGTTCCAGACACAAAAACAGAATCACAGGCAAAGGGTTACAGTGGGCGATAGGCGATAAACTGTGTGGGTGCTAGACAAACGGCGCACGGTAAACCTTGCAGTAATGTAGTCAACCCTGGTGAACACTCCTCTCGTCCGGTTTGAGCGTGACCACACAACCTATCTTGGGCCGCAAGTCCTGTTGGAGCTATTCAGACAGCGACTAATCTCGTTGGTGCCAACCACCTGGTCTGGCGACACAAAATACAAAGCATCCCAGGAGTTTGGAAAATCAACCTTCAACAATGTGTCCTTTTCGCCAGGGACACTGGCACACCCACCGGCGATGAGAAGTCGCTGCGCCGATGGCTGTGTTTCTGCCCATCTGAGAGCCCGAAACAGCCCTTTCGCAGCCTCATCTGCACTGCCTTCGATAGACAGATCGGAGTACGCCACAGCGGATGCTTGCAACCCCTTGAGCTGCCCGGCAAAGTCAACGACAACGCTTGTCCTTCACGAGTCGCGTCAACGGAGGGCGAGAGGGAGAAGTAAAACAACCACTGCTGCACGGCGCTTCGAAGAAAAATGTCGAGTGTACGTGCACTAGACCAATCAAGCAGTGTGGGGCGTGAGAAGCGAAGGAACTCCAAGGGAACAATTTCATCTCATTTCTTCATGGCTGCTATTCTACAAGACGGCAGCGGCCAACGGCTGTTGCCAAAGCAACTCAACTGGATAAGCATTTGGCATTTCAGTGACCGACAAAACATTATTTTGTGGACGCTCTTCACCGTGAGAGCCAAAAGCCAGAAACGGCAACAACACCGCAGTCAAACAAAAATAGCATTCGGTGGATCACCCACCTCGCCATGCTCGCAAGATCGGCAAGCTCTCCACCCCCAACCATGCGGCCGCTGGTGCTGCCGGGCGTTGCTCCCAACACCCGGAAAACCTCCAGGTCTGGCGAATAATGCCGCAGGAGCTGCCCTGTGGTGGCATCCGATATCGCGCACAGCTGTCTCATCAACCCTGGTGCGAATTACTCATCATACATGGCATGGTCCAAACGAACGGCGACAGCGTATCCCCTATTGCCAGAACATTTCGCGCCTAAATACTACCGTAGTTAGGCTGTTTCATATACACCTGGATTCCTTTCCCAAAAAGCTTCACTTTTCAGGATGGGCAAAATCCGGCTTCTTATACGGCCAGATTCTTCAGTTTTTTGGGTCGACAAAATCTGGGTTCAGCTTTTTGGGTTGCCTCCACCCGAAAAGCTTGGCATAAATCAGGATGGTGCCCACCCAGATTGTCTAACCCAAAAAGTTCACCGCTGGTGAATCCAGACGACACAATCGGCGAGTGCGACCTGAGTTCTTGACGTATCGCTCCAATCAAGGGCTCCCAGCAACCCTACGCTGAAGGGCTTGCTATTCTGCACGCTGGCTGTTGATGATCGCTCGGCACGCGTGCGTAAAAAAAGCATATCGCATCACACCAAAAGCATGGAGACGCCGAAACAGGCCAAACCGCCACGAGACAGGAAAAACAGCCGATTTTTGTCAGAGAGGGGAGAACACCGCAACTGATTTCTTGCTCCCTATTCCACCGATCGAAGTCAGACCGGTCAGGGTGTGCTGTCGGTTCTTAGCTCTCTGCCGGGGTAGATTTGCTCAGCAGCGCGTACTCTCGATCGACGGAGAGAAGCACGCGCGTGGTGTCCGTTGCTTTTTCGAACTGTGATTTTTTTCTGGTTTGCTTCTCTTGAGAATAGACTGATGTGCTGAAGCCCGAAATCAATTTTCAACAGACAGCTTGTGCACACGCAGACGACGATATCGAGTGATTGGATCAACGAGCTACTGAGTCGGGTATCCACGCCGGCTGATTGGATCAGCGAATCATCGTGTCGCCGGCTACCGCACCTGGTGCTTGCCCTTCGTCCTTCGCAGGCTCATCCTTCAAAGACCCTCGCGCCTCCCGTTCTCTCTCCTCTTCACCCTTCGCTTCCGTTTTCCCTCCCGCAACCGAACCCGCGTACACGCTTATCCCCGAAAACTCTTCCCCGCCCTCCTTCAGCGCGTCTCGTATTCGATCCTGGGTAACGCCGCCCATCCTCAGTATCAAAATTCGGTCGTTGGCGGCGTCAATCTTGGCGACGGTGGACTCGATGCCCACACCACAAGCCCCGGAGGTGTCGCCATCCAAGACGAGGATATCGCTTCCCCCCAAGTCTTCCATCACGTGCATTGCCTGGGTGGGGCTGCAAGGGGCATGGGAGACGGGAAAAAAGACTCAGAGAAAGCTTCAGCAAGCGAGGGAAAGAGAGAGACAGAGAGACGGAGACACAGAGACAGAGAGCGAACGAGACTCCCTGCCCCTGCATAGGAGACTTGTCGACGAGAGACAAGCTTCGGCGGCGAAACCTATAGAACCGTTCCATAAAAAAAAACAAATCGACATGGCACGACAACGCGAGAAAGAGTGCTCAATTCGATCGTTCCGGAGAGTCCAAACATCCTGCACGCCGTTCGTGACATTGTACCCCCACTTGGCCTGCGGATGACCTCAAAACGTGCATTCCCAAAAGGAAGGAGCTAAGCACTACAAGTGGGTGCAACCCATTCCGATACCTGACGTGGCCGAATCGGTTTGCGCTTGGGGCCGCCACGGGCACGCCGGCAATTGACAAAAGCTGCCGTGTTACGGGATGCGCGGGGCAGCGAACACCCACGAAGCCCGTACCGGCCGTGATGCACGGCGGCACCTTCTTGTCGGCCTTGGCGATTAGCGTTAGTGGGCCTGACGCCAAAGCCGGAGACAGCGAGGAGGAATGACATGATCACAGTCGGGTGGATTGAAGGTGAAAGCGAAGCGATGCTAACATGGTCTAGTCTGAGCATATAACCAGACTGGTAAGGAAGAGCCACAGGAGTTGATACCTTGGAGCTTTTTGCCGGGTTGTATCTTACCACGAGCTCACGATCACCACAAGAAAACCTACCCTGTGGGCGTTGGAATAATCCGCACGGTAGCTGGTCCAGCGGCCCAAGGGCACATGTCACCAACACCAACGCCACTTATCATGTATGACGCCCGATGTCACCCACGTGTGGTGTTTATGGACGGCCGGTTTCACCACAACGAGCCACGTGAGGTTATTTCCTTCGTGGCGTTGAAAACCAGGATGAAAATTAATATCTCGGGGGTGTTGATAATTTGGCATCAAATACACAGCCTTGGCATCGCCGCGCCATCCGTGCCAAGTCGGGCTGCAAACTCGTTATTTCCCCCTGCCCGGCCCTCACGAGCGTGCAACAACTCACCAGGCCACAACTTCTCGCCAAGAAGGTCCAAGAGCCGCCGCGCTTTTTGCCCTCCGCCCCCCTCAACCTCGAAGTCTACCACGGCAAGGGCGCCCGCCGTGTCGGGAACGTGCACGATTAGCGGGTCCGTCAGCGGCCGTTGCTTGGCCTTACGCGTACATGTGGCAAGAGAGCCAAGAGGGGGGAAAGATGGTCAATCGCACAAACAATTTGGGTTGGACAAAAGGGGGTTCCTGAATTGAATTCAGGCGACCGGAATGCGGGTTTGCGTGCATGCTGAAGAGGTGTTGCTCACGTTTGGCGGTCGACCACGCTACATCAGTATACAGTAAATTTTGTGCGATGATTTCAGATTCATCGTAAAGCGGGGTATACTCCAAAAGATGACAAAAGTCTACTGCAGTGAGATACAAAAGGGGGAGCACTCGACATCTTTGTAGAGTTGGCCATACAAGCGCTGGTCCGGACCATGCTGAACATTCCGGCTTTCAATGCATGTATTTCCTTTCGTGCGATGTAGTAGTGCACAGTGTGCTCGACCCGGTGAGGGCTGCATGCAACAAGGGAGGCCACACGTAGATTTTTCCTTCCCACAGAGGCTGCCAGCACCGATCGCCGAACACACGGCAGATGACTCAGGCAAGGGAAGCAGTGCGGCAGAAGCAGCGGCATTGCTGTAATGATCAACCTTTTGTCGTTCCTCGAAGGGCACACCTGGAATATCTTGAGCACGGCGTCCTCTGAGAGAGCATTAGCACCCAACCCGTACACGGTTTCTGGCGAGAAAAGACGGAACATCGACAAACGAGAAAATGAGAGGGAGCACTGAAATATGAAACATGTACCATGCTAACAATTCCTCTTGACCAATGAGTGCGACCTTGCAAGCCTAACCGGCGGTGGTGTCCTTGCCTCTCTTCGCTGGAACGGATCGTCCGATCCTGCCGCGCTCGAGGGAAAAGTGTTGCTAACTACAAGCAGCGTCATCAACGCGGTGAACGTCAGCCCTTTCAAACCTCTCGCATGGCGACCATATCACGGGTGGTGTCACGCAGAAGCCGCATCGTAGCTACGTGATTAACGAAAAGTGAACCCTCTGAATGCATCACCTGTGGGAAACGCTACCAGCTTGCCCGAACGAAGCCGAGCTCCGGCTTCCGTTAGCCACGGCTCCTCGGCAGGCACCACGCGCCCCAACACCGCGGTAGCAGTGGTGGCCCGTTCGCCAGCGGGGGTAACTCCGTCTTCGCAAGACGCATTGCCGGTACTGTCCCTGCTTGCCACGTAGACAGGCAGCACGATGGGGAGGAAGGGCCCAGGGAGTGAGCGACTGAGACTTGGCCATGGACGCTACCCGCATGAGTATCGAGTATGCCGGCGTGGAGAGCGTGCGGCCGACGAGCGATTATTAACTGTCGCTTGGGTGGCTGCGTCTACTTTTCCGCCGCATCTCACCAGTGGCTATTGGAGTCGTAGACAGAGTCCTCCCAGATCAGCATGGAAAGTGGGCAAGGAGTGCACTGTATCATGCTTGTGGGATCAAGTAGCTCTGGAGCTGTGCGTCTAAGTCTACTGCTGGAGGTACACCGTCGGGCGTTGTACGACACCACAGCTGTAAGGCTACCGCACAGGAGGTAAGTTGCACTTGCCGCACCAACCTTTGTTGAAGGTCTTCTGACGCCGACGGAATAACTCTCGACGTCGTCGACATTGAACAAGCTTGCCTTCCTCGTCTCCAAGTGGCGTGGCACTGACTCCCAGGCGCCCACGCAACTGCTCGCGCTGAGCAGCGGTGTGACTGCTGATGATGCGCTGCAACAGCCGCACGAGAGGAAGAGAGCCAGACGCTTCGCGCTGCCAAGCTTACCAGCATAGAAAGAACACCTGTGCGACCCCAGACGAGCACGACAAGTACCGCACCGACAGTCTTCCGGCGGTCACGAGTCATCAACCACAACGCAAGGCTTGGGAAGCGGGGTAGCGCGAGGCGAGAGGTGTGGGTGATACCGATGTGTCCGAACTTCGCCTCTGTGCATTTTTAGGGGGTTGGGGCAGAAATAAACTAGAAGAGGCGTTCTTTCTTCGCCGCTCGCAGGTTCCGGCTCCCAAGATTTCAAGTGTCTGGGATCTGGGAAGAAGGTGCTCCTTGCCGACGATCCTTCCAACTCATGGCCCTCTTAATTAAAGGAGGGATACGCCGGCCGTGGGAGATGATAACACGGAGTCATTCTCACACCTGAGAAGAATGGAGGACTTCCAACACGTGCGCAACAAGTATGTACATGAAGTCGCGGCGCATCTGCGGGACCGCAAATAGTGCGGTGTTGAAAACGATCCTATGCATATGCATGGAGAAACAGTTCGAACGTCCAAACTTACTACTGTAGACCTCGGTCGCCGTTTTGTAGCCAGCGCGCACAAGGTTTCCTGAAAATTCTGCTGTTCAACCGTATAAAGGAGCATTGTTTTTTCTACGCCATCAAAACAATGTCTTGAAGAACTACCGAGCTTCTGGACACTACAGACACCTCAGGGTCAGTGAACTACAGTATCACGTTCCATCGCCACTTCGAACCCAAATTAAGGTTACACACGTGCTCCTCTTCGACACGTCGTATTGTGTGTAGACCCATTGCCTGTCAGGGTACAGATCAACTTGTTCGATGCTCACGTACGTACATGATCAACAGCAGTGGGCTGTATCAACAGTGCCAGGGACAACAACAAGTGACCACGCCACGTCACCGCTTCCAACGTCTAACAAATTGCGCCAACAGCCCGCCGAATGTCGCCCCCGCACGCCACAGGCGGCATCACTTGTTCTGGGGCTTCTTTTTGTTGAAGGAGGCCCGCTGACGCACGGTACGGTACCCCGCACAGATCTGGCACACCCATGTTCCAGCATTGGGGTCCTCCCTCTTGATATTACCGCCACCATTCCAAACGGTAGACTTGTCTTCCACAGGCCTGGGCTCCTTGCGACGGCCTGGCCTCGTGCGCGACTTCTTCCCCGAGGGGGGGGGCGCGACGAGTTCCGCTGCTGTCTCCACGCCGTTCGAGCTCTCCCGCATGGCGCAGTCTGCGAAGCAAAGACAGAAGTGAAGAGGCGTGTTACAAGGCGACCGCGGGGAAGGCTTGACTGATTGCTACGCGCGGTGCCTCCCCCTTGGGTCCAAAACTTGTTCATCGGTTGGTCACGACCCATCTCTCCAGCAAAAAGTGGTCCCCTGAAGCAATACTTGATATCGAAAAGTACAGCGCCAAGAGCAATATGGCGCCCACCTTCGGAAGCATGGACGGAGGTGTGGCACTTCCAGCACGTAGTCATCGGCAGCCCCGGCGACTCCCAGAGGAGGCACGAGTCGCAAAGGTTTGGGTGAGTGTCGCACACCTGCACGGGTCAAGGAACGAGGAGACATGAATCAGCAAGGCGTGCCACAGTAGTGGGAATGAGAGCAAGGGCAACCTCTTAACGTTGCGACAGCAGCGTACGCGGGATCGAGCTCTGAGGGCTTCTCGTCTTGGGGAGTATACACGGGTGGCCAGAGGTCTAGGTTGGGCACCCACCACAACCTGCCAAGGGTTGGGTGGGCTTGCCTACTTCGGGACCTCCCCCCCCCCCCCCCCCCCAGGTTGTAGTCGGTGCCCAACTTACCCACAACCTGACCTGGCCACCTGTGTACATATTCAAACTTGAGGCAGCCAGCTACACACGCTCGAGTCTCTTATCGTCACGCGAAATTTCTCACCGGCCAGTGGTTGGAAAGCATCTCCTTCGTTTCGACAATCCGCATGTACTTCCAAGGGTAGCCTGGGTGCCTGTTGCTGGATCTCCCGCCGTTGTGCTCCAGCCAGTGCCCTCCTGCAAAACAGACGGAGGCCGGGCAATATGAGCTGCGCGATCGAGCACACAATGCGCTACCGCCTGAGAGCACGAAGGATAAGCTATCCAACCAGTCGTGAGCTACCTCGGGCCCAATCTCGCCTGGAGAGAAAGCAGTCGAGTCGGCATGGCCGACTCCGTACCTCTTGTTTTGAGGACGTTTAATCACGCTTTGCTGTCGAAACGTCCGCGTTCTGCGTCCAAACCGGAACGTAACACATCCACGGGACTGCTGTTGAAACCTCCATTCATTCTGAACGGGGAAACCGTCATCTTACTCCCGGCTACACAGATGACCCACAACACGGTCAACTTTCCCAAGGGAATGAGGATTGAGGAGGTGGCGGCGTGCGAATATTAGGAAAAACTGCCTATTATCGCGGTAGCGTAGCGCTAATCCTACATGCACAACAGACAGTTTGTTCAGGTGGACCCCTCCTATACAAGGTTCGGAATCAACGCTCACCTTTCATTGTGATTCCACAGCCACATAGGCAAATGATGGCTTGCCCATCGAGGATTCCCTGCTTCTTTCGCCCCCTGTATTCCTCATCGTACATCTCCAACACTTGACCCTGAAAGACGAACAAGGTGCGTACAAGACATGAAAGAGCTTGCGTGAGTGAACAGGGCAGTGAGGAAAGAGCGGAGACAGGCCAGAGGTTCCGTCGGCAATGACCCCCAGGAGAAACATCAACACCTACATGCAGCCACCGTTAGACCCTGCTCTACCCTGCTCAGCGACAACTCATGCATACCAGGGACCAGGGAGGTTCCGGGTGAAATTCGTGATCTTCGAGCTTGGATAAGGGTGCCCCGTAAACACATGGTGGCTCAAGAGCAAAGGCCCGCGTGGGGGAGAGGAGACAGATGGCTGCGGAACGGAGCCATCGACCGCAACGAAGAGCTGTGCATGGTTTAACGATTGACCCCGCCTCCTTATCCTAGCGGTGCTTACTTGACAGCGGTCATTGCGCTTGCGGAAAACACCCTCGGCAACAAAAAACAGCCCCAGGTATGTTCGGCTCTCGTTGTGAGTGGACGGAGATCAGCACACGCTCTCCGAACAATCTACGTGCCTACGCTGTGTCAACAGCAAGCACGAAGAAAACAAGCTACACCTGCAGGTGGTGGCAGTGGACCCTGTCGCGGGGCCTGAGTCGATGAGGAGTGGGTTCACCACTGGGCCTGCTGTTCCATGAATCCGATCCGCGGGTGGCCGTATCCGTGACCTTGCCAGCCGCGACAGGAGTATCCGACCGTGGGAGCTCATCCCCGCTGTCCTCCGAAATCATGCGGCGGGTAGTCCTGAGGCTTCGGTTCGGCCTCGGAGTAGCCTGAGGCATACAAGCAAGCAAGCAAGTGGGCACCGAACACGGGTGAGGGGCATCGCCACGTAGAAAATATGCACGGGGGCAGAGCGTTCGGGCGTTCCTTGGTCTCCGAATGCATACTTCTACGCCGCCAATGCCCGGCAATGGGGTCCAAATGTTGCTAGCGGAGACGTTGGTAGTCGCGCTTGATGGGAAACGTTGAGTTTAGCAAAAAAGAAAAGAAAGTCGTTCACCAACGTACAGACAAGAATGTGCTAGCTTGATTGCATGCAGCATGCAACGCCGGGCAAACTTTGGATAAATACGAAGCCTGCCGCGCTTTGGCATCAACCAATCGGGTTTTGCCGACAGGGAGGGGGCTTCAAGAATATAAAAAAAACAAGGTATGTACGTGTTGCCTACAGCATCGATTGCTTTACAAAGCAAGAGGACTCATCAACTTGACCCCAACAAGACCTAAAAGAGCGCCCAGACAAAATTTGACATGAAACGACAGCAGTACGTCTGTCTCACCGACGGCACTGAAACCGGTGAGGACGTCTTCTGCCTCTTCTTCGGGACTTCGACGCCTTTCCCCTTGGCCTTCATTTTCTGATAAAACGACGCAAGGGGATACAGCAGTGGGGCACCGCGACCACGCGAGCCGGGGTTAGTGGACACAACTTTTCAACGTTTCGACAGGCACAAGCCGGGCTGCTACACCTATTGGTTAGTTACACCAGGGGCCATCGATTACTTGCGCCGCGATCGTGTCACCCACATGCTCCCAAGAGAGCAACACCTACGATGCCTCCTGCATGGTAAAGCTCGGTCTCCGGTGTGGCATCTCCTTTTCACTGAAGAGGGAAGCACGAATCGGCCCGCAAGCGAGCGGGAGCGACGTACACAGACAGGATTCCAGCAGGTTTTCACAACTCTAAACGTCCACTTTACGTGGTGTTCAGGTGCGGTCACTGCCTCGGTTCTCCAGCGGAAGGGAGCAAGCCCCCTCCTCGAACCGAGCACACAACACACCAGACCCAAAGCACGTGATAAGTCACCAAAGACACCCGGACCTTGTTCGCCTTCAAAGCTTCTGCTTCCTCGGCATTAGCCACGTTAGTCCACTCGACCTCCCTCTCTTTCCGCTGTGCGTGGAAGGCCTTTTCCCTGCTCGGCTTCCCGATGAACCTGAAGGTCACAGATAGACAGAAAGGGAACGTAAGTTGCGAAGCATGCCCCATGGATTTTTTTTGTTTAAATCTTCACTTCAAATCAGGGCTCACAGCACTAGTAGTGTCGTTTACTCCAACCCGTGGTCACACAGAAGAGCCCCTCTCTACCCTCTCCTCCCTCCCCTCCTGCGGTACTTTGCCTTCGATTTTTAATGCGAGAAGAGTTCAGCACTCTCTTCCCTCTGTGTTAATGTGAAGACAACAACAACACACAAACTAGCGCTATCCACTTGGCCAGGAGCGGAAGCGACAGAAAAACTCACTTTGCAAGAAAAGCTCGCTTACGCCGGGATTCAAACCCCTGACCTGACCTCTAGAAGGTTTCGAGGATACCGACTAGACCACCGGGGCGACCGGTCTATCTCAAAGTTGGCGATGATGCCAACAATCATCACAAAACGAACGTACATCACGACACCGGGCCAGCACCGCCAAACACACAGATGAAATATCAAAAAGGGGTTCGTATCCACAGAACCCACGGTAGCAGACGCCCTGGGAACTCGGCACGCTCGCTCACACATGCGAAAAACAAGGCCCCGATGCGTTTCCCATCCTTTGGTGGGACGCGTCTATTTGTAGTCCACATGACACATAAACGTCGAGAAGGACTGTACCGGCAAACTAGCAAAGAACGGGCTTGTTGGACGACTCGTCAGAGAATGGCGATAGCCTTGGCCACAGTACCACACAACAACTTGCTGCCGCACCAAAGAGTCGACAGTTCATCCGAGCACTGCTGTGCGCCTATTTAGGTGGGAGGGTAGCGTTTGGGCTGCTACCAACAGCAGCGATGACCGCCGGAAAGGGCCTCTACTCAAGGCTTGCACCCGAGCCTTGTTTACTCGTAGATGAGTGACGGGCGGGACTCTTCTCTCACTTTGCACCAGACGTCAGCCCTTTCCCGTAGGCCCGCGCTAGGTAACGCCCGACGTCCACCGTGGCGTGCATTCCGCTCGGCGACATCTTCTTCCGTGCCATGGCCGTCTGCGCCAGCATTTCCTCCAAGAGAGGGTGAGGGAAGCCGTGGAACGTCGCCTTCAGAACCCAATCGAACGGAACACGGGCCAACAGAGAAGAACAACGGCGTCATTAGAACGCGTTAGGTTCGGAGCCACGGTTGCGAAGCAAGGCGGCGACTCCGAGCACAGGGCTCAGTGCCTACCTCACACGGCACCCAACGGTATCGAGCTACAACTGTAGGAGGAACACAATGTACCTGCCTGCACCGCCGTGTGTAGCTGGGCTCTTACCCAAGAGTAGAAAGTTCTTAGCCCTTGTGAGGCTGCTCCTCTTTATGTACGTCCTACCCACTGCTAGTGCTCACACTTGTAACGATCCGTTGGACGAGCGCTATTTACGTGCCCGTGACGCCGACCGTGTCTGTGTGCTGCCGCCTCACCTTGCTAGGGCGTTTCAAGTCGGGCTGGCCAGTCTTGGTGACGTGGTCCTTTAGAGCATTCAACACTGGGCCACGGTCGCACTCCACAACGCACGTGCCCAACAGCCTGCCCACATCAACCCAGGGGCATGAACAGGGCGGAAGGGATGATTGAAACGTGAAACACAGAGAAATTTTGACTGCTACAGGCATATGTGCAACAAGTTTGAGAGATGAAACCGCGAGCAGGGACGGATAGGTGCATCCTTTACACGGGTCTTCAGCAGGACAGGTCTAAATAGAGTAGTCCACACTGCTGTGTCCTTGGACTCCTGATTTTTCTGACAATCGTATTCCGTAAGCCTCTACGTTGTACATGTACGTAGCATACTCCTGCTGCAAACCCTTTGTAGACGCATGGTGCGACCATGGCATCGCAGATGTTGTTGAAGACAAACACATCGCTCGAAACTCTCGGATGCAAACGGTAGGGCAAGTTATCTCGAAGTCAACAAATTCGCAGTGGCCTGCAGGCCTCGACTCACCTCGTGAAGTCATCGATGAAACCGTTCGCGTCCTTATACCGCTGCTCTGACACGCTCGCCCGGATCCGCTTCATCAGCGCGTGCTCCGTGAACATGGGCTGCTCCATCAGCTTCTCCATCGTGTACATTACCACGCGAAACAGTGGACAAAGTGCGGGAATGATCTCTGTGTTTCACGATCATCCAGCTGCAGTTCGGGAGAGAAGTCTGTACCAATGTCTCAAGTCGCCCTGGGTTGTCAGTATCAGGTAGCCGATGCCGATGCATACAGCAAAAGCGTCTACTCAGCAAACAGCAAGAGTAACTGGAGGATTTAAGTTCAGTTGTGCTCTCTGTGACAACGTCTATCTATCTTACACTCCGTCGTCACTCCAAAATCCAAACCCTCTCACCATGATCCGCTCGTGGCCGTCCACGAGACGTGCTTCTTCCTGCAACGCCACATTGCAGCAAGAGAACAACCGCCGGTGGAGCTCAAGGCCGCCGGAGGACGCTTGCTGAGATCCTCCTCCTCCTCCTCCCTGCGAGCAGGGCGCCTCGTGCCAGCTACTACCGCGCGAGGCAGCGGTCTCAGACATAATCCTGATAGCAGGGCCCCAAGGGTATGGAACACTCAAACTCAGCACTAGGCTCGTAGGTAGCCCAAGCTCTCGTGTCTGCGATGGAGCGCCAGATGGGCAGTCAACACAGCTGGCTGCTGGGGGAGCCAGCTCAAGCCGAGAGGCCTACCAGGGGGTACCGCAGATGCGAAAGGGTACATGCCAGGAGATGCCTTCGATCTGCGAGCCCCCCTCGTAAAACATCATGTTCGGATCCTGGATCGACGGAGATCAATGAATGCCAACAATGCCCCCCACAGCTGCACCCATGCCCACTACTGCTGACGTGCAGAGAGCAGTCACTGTCATAACCTTGGGCAAGATCAACCCTAGGTTCATTTTACCACTGCAGGTATATGATATTACCGTACAACAGTTGTAGGATCCGCCAACGAAAGATATTCCGGAGTTTGTACAAGTAAGTATACAGCAGTAGTGCCGTATCTTTCCACACACAAAAACGCATGCGCAGCCAGCATCGGATCACCCTTGAGCGTTCAAGAGTATTCTCCATCCCTGCGAAGGGTTGGAGGTTTTGTGAAGAGGGGACCCGCGAAGATGCCCCCCCCGCGATGCATTGTCTATGAACAAGAGTTCCATCAACTTTGATTGTGCCGAACAAATAAATGCGACAGACTCCATCTTTTCGTGGGCAACGATCGTACCATCGACGGGCCCCCCCTTACCGTATACACCACCATCATGTATGCTGAAGAGCTGGAGCAGCTTTGCAGACACGACATCCCTCACACGCGGGCCTTAGCCTGTATCACATCTGGCCGCCCAGTCCATTGGGGGGCGGGAGACCGATCCTATACCAACCTTTAGCGGGGCTTTGTAGGCAGTCTCTGACTTGCGCAAGAACTATATTATTGGTGAACACAGCAGTGAACAAGGGTTGCCATATGACTACCGAAGGTGAGAGAGGTTGGGTTAGGTTGAGGCTGCAACGGAAGAAGGGACTTACACAGCAATTGAAGCTACTATAATAGCCTGTGCAGGGAAGTATGTAGGTGGCAGGTATTCCTGCCACCTCCTTGATGATATCGGTCCGGCACATCCAAAACGTACGACGTATTCAGGTTCTACTGCTGTGGATGGCAAGGCTCCACTGCTCACGACCTGATCCCATCAACTGTCTACAGAGTACCCTCAGAGAACGTGCATGGAGGGTTGCAATCGTTATTGTTCCTTTTGGTGTTGTTGCTGCTACTACCGTAATGGTCGGAGAGATGGCACCGGGTGCGATCGTTTTTTCAATGTTCATTCCTCGGGTTTTTATCGCACCCCGGTGCCATCTCCCCGACCGGTGCCATCTCCCCGACCGGTGCCATATCTCTCTGACCCCGGTGCGGAAATGCAATCAAATCGTTTCGTTTAGATTTTTCAAGGCACCCCGGTGCGATCTCTCCGACCGGTGCCATCTCGGATGAAATACACACAGGTGTTGTATGCACGCACCCTGGTGCCATCTCTCCGACCGGCATAATAGTATTGATGCCAGTGTAGGCATACCCACACACACGGTCTTCTGTACACGCTAGTTGACAGAATGTTACTTGTTTTGATCAGTGTAGGTACCGTTGTTGCTGGTTGGAAGCACACCAGTAACGGCAACGTAGACTGGTACGTAACAGCTTTCCATGCAGCGACTGGTATTGTGTTTGAAGACGGTTTGGCTATGGCGTGACAAGGACAAGAAACGATGTGATGTCCATCTGAGGCACCGATACATACGGTATCAGGCGGTCTTCCACGTTCGTTTCTGTCTTCCTATACGGATACCAGTACGTATGCAGCAGTACAATAGTGTTGTGTACGGTGGTAGGGTGCCGCTTGTACGTTGTGTGTTTGGTTGATTTTACGGTTGGCAACTGGCATCCCGGGTGAACCGCGACCATGCATACGTACATACAGGACAGGAGTGGCGCTCCGCTGACACCGTCCCCACGTGCAAAAGGTACGCACATGTACCGCATTCCGGCAGCTGAAAAAGGAGTTCAATCTTGGATTTGGGGGTCGGTGACATCGCACCCGGTGCGATCTCGGGTGCGATGTCACCGACCCCGGTGCGTAAATCGAATTAAGTCATGCCGTTCTTGTATTTTTTTGCGCACCCCGGTGCCACCCCCCCCCCCGGTGTTTGCCATCGGGGTTTGGGTTTTCGTCGCTTGGCAACGACGTTGTAAAACAAGCCCCCCCACTCGGTGTTTGCCATCGGGATTGGTTTTTCGTCGCTTGGCAACGACGTTGTAAAACAAGCCAATTCACTTCGTGAACTCGGCAACCAGGTTACCGTTTTTTTTTTTTTACCTCGGTTTTTTTTTTGGCGGTAACCATAATGGTGGTCGAGTAGATCATGTTGTGCGGGGTCGAGAAACCTCACTCCGCGCAACGGGGGATGATCGCACCACGTTGTGTTAAAATGGTCAAGCTTCCTCGAGGCAGTTACACAGTGCTTACAACTGTCTCTGGAAGTGAAAGCACCAGAAAATAAATTAAGTCATACGTAGCTGTCATCCGTACGCAAGGAAGTAAGCACAAGATTCCGAACACCCTTAGCAGGATGCAGCTCACCCTTCATGCGACTCGCCAAATACCTCACGGCGCTTCGCGCTTGGTGATGTGAGAGCCTGGTCCGGTGAGAACCTGGCGTGCTCCGTCCCGGCTTTGTAGGGATGCGAGGTCAATGGTCAAACGACTACGGCATGCACGACTATGAGTACACCCCCCCCGGTGCCATCTCCCCGACCGGTGTCATCTCTCCGACCGGTGCCATCTCTCCAACTATTACGGCAGTATACGACACGAACTAGTCTAATAGATAGGCTACCCCCGTTGATGTTTGAATGTTTGAAACCAAGCGCTTCCCACGTTCAATCATAAGAGGGACGCACACAATGCCTGAAGTGGCCTTCGTAGGTCTCCTCTTTCTACAAGTTCATGAATCCGGGGGACAGATCCTGCCGTTAGTCCCTCGTGACTGTTCGGGGGCGCCTCGCAATTTTCACTGTAGTGTTCTACGTCCCGTCCGTCGCGCCCCGGCCCTGCTGGGACAAATCTGTTGTAGATCGAAATAAAGCGTTCTATTTCTTGCCCTCGAAGGCTTGGCGTCGCGCGGGCGATGGTACAATCCACGCACACAAGCGCCAAACGAGCTGTCATGAGCTTCAGAGGAGCTCAACTGAGGGCAGGAAAACATCGAGGTATCTCTCTAGGAGAACGAGGCACATTCACAAAGCACTCGGTGGGGGGACCGCCTACGCAGGATTTAGAGTATCTAGGAACAGAATAGGCAGGGGTCACGCAGACTCTATCCCTAACCCTAACCCTAACCCCAAACCACGGATTGAATACTTTATCCCATATGTTTGCAGAATCAATTTTGCTTCGTAAACTACTGCGGTGGGGAGGATGACACTTTGTTATTTATTGTGGCCAGCAGTGAAATCAAGGCGAGGCACATAACTTTCCCACCAAAGGCATAATTGTTGCTTCGGAAGTTAATTCTGCCCCGAGCATGTGCATCCCTCGGAGACAGATAACTGTACTGAGCTGCTATCATTGTATCTATCCCTGCCATTGCCTGGGGGGAATGCGCCTGGTCAGCCTTAAGGGTACAGGCACACGAACGGAGAATGATGTTGAGCGTCATGTTTCGGGTATGGACCTGTTGACCAAGCATCACCACGAATGGTGGCCAAGAGCCTCGTTGGCTTCGTTTTTTCTGTTTCAATAGGGCTATTTCAAAACAAAACAGTTGCAGTACAGGCTGGCTCACTTCACCGACGTTGTGAACGGCGACCTACTAAAAGTTGACTGATTCTCATGAGTCTTGCCGCGGCCTACCGAATGGAACGTTGAAGAGGGGCGTCGATCATGAACAGACGAAAATAGGTGATCAATGTCAGGACACGCTGTGGTTGATGGTCAAGAGCTGCTATTTGCAGTTGTTTGGAAGGGCCGTGATCATTTTCGCCTCGAATCAGAGTACCCCCCTCCTCTCCTTCCTTATTTCCTGTCTCCGACTTTAACCAACAAGTCGCATAGCAAGAAACTGTCCCCAAGGCCCATAATACTCATTTACTTCCGTTCTTACGTGTATAGACTATACCTGCCATCCGCTATCCCAGGAAAGAGCAACTGCCTGGACGCCTTCATCATCGCATTGAACCAGGCTTGTGATGGACTGAAGTGGTACGCGTCTACGCTGGAGCTGCAGCTCGTGTCGCTGGAATTTTGTAAGGCATGCAGAAGTGTCCCGACCTTGCATGTTCGTGTCAATAGACATACTCCTCCTGGCTTGTGGTTTCCTCGTAAAATACCGACCAAACTCGACAAGTGCAGTCGAGAGGCTTGCCTCTCGGATCGCGTGCCAGCTGTGCAGGCTTTTGGTTTGGCGTGGGAGCTTCCGCTGAAGGTTCTGGAGCATAGGTTAGCCCTCGAGCAGCGGCTGGGGTTAGCCCATCGGCAACTAACGGAACCTCAATTTACAGCTCGCGCACAAGGACCATCGATGACGTGTGGTAAACTCCTCCAACAGGAGGTATTTCCTTGTTTTGCGACCGTGAACGCGGCGGCATGGCCTGATTCCCTTCAGGAACTGCGGTTTGGTTGGGGCCTCAACGAGCCCATCATCGGAGTCTCGTGGCCGGCCTCCCTGCAGCGGCTAGCGTTTGGTTGTCTTTTCAACCAGTCCATCACCGAGATCGTGTGGCCGGCCTCCCTGAAGCAGCTATCGCTTGGGGATCATTTCAACAGTTGCATCGTCAAGGTCGAGTGGCCGTCCTCCCTGCAGAAGCTATCGTTTGGACGTTCCTTCAACCAGCCCATCGCCGAGGTCGTGTGGCCGGCCTCCCTGCAGCAGCTATTGTTTGGAAGTTTCTTCAACCAGCCCATCGTCGGAGTCGTGTGGCCGGCCTCCCTGAAGCAGTTATCGTTTGGACTCTCCTTCAACCAGCCCATCGCCGAGGTCGTGTGGCCGACCTCCCTCCAGCAGCTATCGTTTGGACGTTTCTTCAACCAGCTCATCGTCGGAGTCGTGTGGCCGGTCTCCCTGGAGAAACTATCGTTTGGGCTTTTCTTCAACCAGCCCATCGCCGAGGTCGTGTGGCCGACCTCCCTGCAGCAGCTATCTTTTGGGGATATGTTCAACCATCCTATCATGGAAGCCAGGTGGCCGGTCTCCCTGCGGCAGGTGTCATTTGGTTCTAAATTCAACCAGCCAAGCGCGAAAGTCGTGTGGCCGGCCTCCGTACGAAGCGTGACTCGTGACGGACGTAGCCTGCTACAGAGCCGGCCCATTAGTGAAAATCGCCTTTTTCCAGCATGGCTCAAAGCCTTACTAGGTCTAACCGATTAAGCACAGGCTATTTGTAGCTACTTGCATGGAGTTATAGTGGCGCCGATGGCATATTTAGTCTCATTTCGTCCGTCGTTTTCAATATTTTTCCAGTACTCGGAGTGAGTGTGAAAAGAGAGAATCGTCCTCAACAGATGTTGGGGAGATACTATCTTTATGAAGGTGATGATCGCATTACCCCCCCTTTTTCGAGACTTCTTCATGTTTGTAGGCAAGATGAGTCTTCTAGGGGTAACCGGAACCCGACCGGCTGGCGGCGGGGCGATACACTTCTTCACAATCCTCTGTTGGTGAATCCACGGGTTCGCTACATCCGCAACATCATCAGAAGTTCGATAGCCAGTGCGTCGTTCTTGGCCTACTCACCGTATCTCCTTTTTTCCGTTGTCCGAAAGAAAAAAGGGTGACCTGAGGGAATGGAACCCGTGTCTTTTGCAACCAAAAGCAGAAACTCTGACATCTCTTCGTCGACGCCATTGTGAAAAGAGGGAATCGTCCTCAACTGACGTTGGGGAGAAATTACCTTTATGAAGGTCCACAGGAGCCGCGATTTTATTGTCAAGATGTTTCTTATGAGCGCACCGGCACCGTATGGCCGCTGTCGAGGCATGTCGTCTCTGGTTGTTCGGGTCCTGCTTTTGGCCAGGTACTGTAAACAGGCAGGGTATGGTTAGGAAGACGGATATTAGGTACGTTTTTTACCTCCATGCATGACAGGCCCACCGCTGGGCAAGGAAGCCTATGGTGCATACAATCGTGTCGAAATGGCGACGCCCTCCATTTGAAGACTTCCCTTTGCGACACGCCACTCTCGAAGGCGGTATCCATTAATTGCTTGGGGTCAAGCAGTGCAAGCATCGTGGAGGACATCTCGGGGAGCCGTTTTGCGGATTCCTGGCACCGAGCCTTCGAGACTTTGTGAAGAGGTACATCCTGACGAAAGGAGCATTGGTGGTGTGCAGTGGGCAGCGAAAGGGTACAGCCCAGCTAACCCTGGTCATTCCATCCACATTCAGACGTGAAGGCGACAGGGGTGCAATTATCCAAGGAGGGATCGCCGTAGGGTATTCTCTGCAGCCAGGCAGGGTGTAGTGTAGACCATTTTGTCCAAGTATGCCACATGAAGGACTGAATTTTCGAGGGATAAAATGCACAAGGGAGTGTGTGTGTATTTTCATTATTAGCATCGACCGCGCTAACCGACGTACCAATGAAAACACGTCAGTCTCAGTGTGTGTGTGGGGGGGGGGGATGATGGAAGCAGACACCGAGCATGTATCATGAGGTTGGTTAAAAGAACGCTAACGCCATGGACACTTCACCTCGATGATGGTGGGCTGTGATCATGAAACGGGAAGCTACTAGTTGCCCCATGTACAGGAAAATGTTAGGAGTAGGTTTGTCGCTGTCGTCTCTTTGTTGTTGTACGGTGTGCTTGGGTTACGCTTTTCGTCAAGCCGTGCTCGAGGTTCTGTGGAGGTCCTCAAAGAACGAGCGTCTGAACCATCTGCGTTGTTACGGCATGTTACCCGGTGTTTAACTCTGAGGTGAGCGACAGTGATCCATGTGGAAGAGTTGGGATTGTCGTTCACCACTCACTAATAGACAGTTTGGTGTCGTCACTGTGTCAACGAACGGCTTCAATTTTGATAATTGTTGCTTTCTATACACCAGACGGCTTCAATTTTGATAATTGTTGCTTTCTATACACCAGAGAAGATGCGAACGCACATGGCCATGGCAGTACAGTCAATCTGTCGTGAACCAGCATCGCGACGGCCACGGGGATGCCGATGAAGGTGCTGGTGGATTACTGGCAGCACTACTGCATGCATTTCGTGATAAAGCCATCCTCCTTGAGCTAAGTATGTGGCTTCACTGACCCGCGCTACGCGGAGAGAGCCAAAACTTAACTAAGGTATTTCACGGCCGCAAGAGGTGTGTCTACGGGTGTGCGAGTCTCGCGTTCACCACACAGCCATGCAATATGTACGTACCTCACGCAAGCGAATTCTTCGAGGTGATGCACAAGAAGTCCATAAAAAAATCCTGTTCTCCCTTTCCTGCAACGTTGATATGAACGTCACTGCATCTCTGCTTCTCTAGTCACACGTCGTGCCTCCCGCAAAATAACCCTTTCTCCCGGCATATACATACGGTTTTAAGCCTGAAGGTGTGGCCCCGCACCTTCTGGTTCGCCACCCGAACGTCCAAATGAGTTACGATTTTCTACAATTCTTTTCCTCGGCGAGTTGATACAACGACCTCTCTCCAACCAACGGTTAATCACGCGCCACACGACAACAAACAAGCATTGCGGCAAACCTTCGGCACTGCATATGCCACTAACGCCCAGCAACACACAATCGTATATACCGTAAAATGCCCTCGTACGCCTCCCAACCAAGCAAGATACATCAATAACGCCGTGGTTCGAACGCGTCCCGGTGTTTTCCCAGCCAAAAGTTAAAAGTAAGAGTCGTCGAAGTAGTCGACCATCGTGTCAGGATCGAGATCGAGTGGGAGCGCGACGGCGTAGCCGAAATACGATTGCGGTCGCTTCTTGGTATCGGCGAGTGATCTCTTGAACTGATCCACGCGATCCCACTCCATCAGAAGCTCAGCGAGTGCCTGCAGGTGCTCCAAGTATTCCTGCTCGCTGAGCGGAAAGCTGCTCTGTCCCAGATGCCTGGATGAGAACAACGCAGCCGTGCCGGGTTGAGTCTTGAGAACACAGACGCGTCTTCAATGTTCACGCCACAAGGAAGCTCGCTCTACCGTGAACCAGTGACGAATTTTTGGCGACAGCATTGGCGACACCAGCGAGGCTTGTTGCAAATTCCGGACGAGGTTGTTCTACCTCTCACGTGGAAATGTGCAACATACATAGTCCTGACCCCGACCGTACTACAACCCCAAGGGCAGACGCCACTCACTTCCACATGATGTTGAAACACAAGACAGGTTTGCCCATCCACACTGTTTTGTTGATTTGAACGTCGTATGGTACGTCGAACTTGTCGACGATCAAGTCGTACATGTCGTAACCCGTGAACTCTTCCTTCTTCTTCAAGCTGTCTTTCCTGCAACAAGGTGTGGCGAAACACGACCGCGGAAGAGGATTGCCAGGTTAACGCACGTCTGCGTAGCAGCATTCAGAGCGAAATAAAACGAGTGCACATCACTGGAACAATACCTCGAAACAACAAAGATCTGGACACCGTTGCTCTTGGTTTGCCTCATCAACAGCGAACTAAAAAAAAAACTTGTCTTATCTTGAGCGGATTTTCGGCGATCAACTGCCCCCTCTTGACTGGCCAATATCAAAGGTGTCGGTGTGAGATGCACAAGACGAAATCCACCACATCGCGCATCGCTGCTGCACCAAAGCCACAACTACTGCTGCAACGGGCGCGATCACCTGCTCTGCCTGATCAGGCTCTCTCGGAAGGCACTCATGTCTTGGGGCTCTTCCTGCTGCTCTTGCTCCTGCGGGGTGTCCATGCTCCCTTCGAGCTGCGGACCGGTCATCATCTTCTCCAAACCACTCATGAACTTCTCCATTGGACTAGCCGAGAGCTTACCCACGCTCTGAGCAGGTGCAAGTAGCGGAACATGACGGATTGCCGACAGCGTTGGTGGATAAAATATTGTGTGGAGGCTACAAAGCAGTATCTTGGTAGAGTACTTCGAAACAGGTTCCTAGTTATAGCACGAGCGGTGCATGTCCTGCATGCGTCGAGGAAACGAAAAGTCGGGCCGTGCGCTATGCAAGCAACGTGGTCCACGTCCTGTGCACGTGGCCCAGGGCAAGTTCTCCGTATGCATATCAAAAGGTGAAGATAATTTGATACTTTGGCCGCGTCTCCCCTGCGAGGAAGGATGGTGTCAGCGTTCGTCGACATAAATCCCACACGCAAGCACGGGTGACGCTCAGTTGTGACTTTATCCACTCTTATCCAACACGTGAGAGTGTTTGTCTCCACAACAATGGTGTTTTTGGTAACTCTGGAACCACATTCTGTTCCCGAGCGATCTATGCATACGACTTCCCGCTGATTACTGCTGGTAGTATCACAGGATCGCACGACCAGGACGTGGAACGCAACATGAACAGCACCGATGCAACCACCTGGGCAGAACCTTCGGAGTTTCGACTTCAACCTTCCCAGCAGACATTCCAGCTGCTGGCGAAACGCTAGGGGCAATTTTCTGCTGGTGGCTTTCGCACTTTGTAGATATGTGATCGACCTATGCATACAAGCCAATGCTCCGACAACGCCTGGTAAGTACGAATCTCTTCCAAATACGGGCGGGGCACACGCCCTGGTTAATCGTGCCGCGTTTGGCTACACCCGCTGACCCGGACGCACCCACACCCGTAACCCGTGTGGTGTGGTCTAGTATGATTAGCAGGGACGGAAATATTCGCCTTACCTAGCGGTGTTGAACATCAACAAAATGGATCTCAAATGAGTGCAGGGTGGTAGCGCGGTGCTTGTGCTGGAATCTACGGACGGTGGACTACATGACTGGAAGGTTACCGCCGGTCCTGCAGATTACGGGCCGGTTCAACTTGGGACAGCTTGTTTGCGCGTAGCGTCACCACGACGACGGTGTATTCTGCCGCTTCTACAATCACCGTCAGCAGTCATCAAAAGCCTAATGCTACTGCCCGTACCAGTGCGTACCGGTGCTGACGACGAGCGTGCCTGTCCCTCTCGCTTGCGGCCTCACCTGACACCGATCTGGTCGGGCACGACCGCTCCGCGCGACACCCACATGTCGAAATCCTTCCGCCGATCTGTTTCTTGCTCCCAGGAGCGCGACGGCTGCTACGACAGCTACTACCGATTGCCGTAACATAGCGCTTTCGTGACTTGGAGTTGAGGGGAGGAGCGAGTTCTGCCTGGGTGAGATTTGGAAGGTGTAAGAGGGAGTTGATTTTGCGCTACAGAGGCACATGCGGCGCGATCGTCGCTGCTGTGCTGGCACGCGACATAACGGCCTCGTGAACCTCCTAACAAACCCCGCATACCCCAAAAGTCTCCATTGTGCATCCCCCACAGCATCTCCCTCCGCACGCCGCACACGGAGCAGGGAGTAGCAGGCTGTACACGAGGACACACGCGCCGGTTAACGATGGCGGCAATGACTGGAGCCTTCGGATCGCTGCCTAGCTCACTAAAAGACAAGCAAAGGCAGGCTGTCCTCAGGCTACTGAATTTCAATTCCAATGACAACGGTGAGCGCGGAACTGCAGAGATAGATTCAGAACGTTGTCTTCATCGCGTATGCTGTATGCTGTAACAGCGAGGAACCCGCTACACCTCTCGCAAAGGTGGCGACTGCTCCCAGCAACATTGCCTTGATAACTAACTGATGGAAGGATTGCCTTGTTGAATAGGGTGAATTGTCTGTACATAACGTTCCGCGCCTCTCCTACAAGTATGACTTGCCCCTCCGTCAAAGAACATTTCCCTCTATAGGTTGCACCGCAAACCTCTGTGGTTGGTTACGTACAGCAGATACAACATACGCACCGGAGAAAACACCTATCTCAGCAAGCCAATTGTCGATGCTACCTGGCGCACCCCTGCCTCAGACACACTTCTCCGCCGCTTGTTGTATACCATCGAAAAATCCAGGCACTCGGGTGGGCCAGATTGGCGAGTGGTCGGATCAGTGGAAGGTTTTGGTCTACGACAAGCCATGCCGGAACATCATCTCCACATTGCTGCATGTCACGCAGCTCCGGAAGCAAGGAGTCACCCTGCACATGCTGGTGCGCCGCCCCGTTGCTTAGTCGGGTCGTATCAGTGCTGCATGTTTAAACCCAGGGGGCCTGAAACACTCACAGTTTCGAGCCGTAATTTAATATCACAAGTAAGTGCACGTGTACATATATGCTGCACGTGAGCGGATAAAACCGAAACCAACCTGCACCCAGTGTGTATTTCTACCGATGTCGAGGAGTAACTCGTTCTTGGTCACCCGTGACCGCTTGCGCTTGCCTGTTTGTTCCCACGCCACAGCTGGAGACGGAACGAGAGGCAATCCCCGACGTACCGGCGATCTATTTCTGCCGCCCAACGGAAGAGAACATGCGACGAATCGCGGCCGACGCTGGCAAAAGGCTCTACAGGTACTGTAACTCTTCTTTCTGGCGAGTCTTTCAATTTTCGTGTAAACACACAGCAGGGCGAATCGACGCACAATGCTTGCGGGAGCGCTGCCGTTCGACTGGCGTAACACGCAGGAGAGCTATAGCATAATCTCTCGGTGCCGTATGCACAGGTTGCCGCACTTCATGCTGTACGCCCGTCCTCGCATGGACAACATGTCCCGTAACCATACCTCGCAATCGACACCCTCCCGCGCAGCAACCTGTTCATCAACCTGTCGAGCAAGCTCGAGCGGCCGCTGATGGAGCTCCTGGCGCGAGAAACCTTGGCGGAAGGCAGCGTAGACATGATCTCCAAGATTTTTGACCAGAACCTTGAGTTCGTTTCCTTGGAACACCGCCTTTTCAGCCTCGACCGACCGGGATCGTACGTGCAGTACAACGACCCGACCTGCCCAGACGCCCAGGTATAGACCTGCAATCTTGGTTAGGAAATGGAGAGCGGGGGCTCCGTCTTTTGTGTGAATGCTCTAAGCAGTGTTGTAGCTCTGTCCGGTGCTCGGTTGAGTGCTGGGCGCCGCCCTTTGCAGAAGCAACGAAGGTTGGCGAACGCAATTTTGCTGTTATCTATACCAGATGTACATTGCAAGGAAATGGATGCGGAGCCATGCTAGGGGGTTGAGCCTGGACTTAGCCCGGCTCCCGGGTCCAAGATGTGTGCATACCCTTCGAGAAGCCTTCTCGTTCGTGCCCTTTCATGATGCAGCGGAAAGTGTTTGACCAATCATTTTTCGTGCCCCACTGCGCCCTCACCTTTTTCGTCGGAAACGCACGCATGACAGATCGAAAACTACATGAAGAGCATGGCAAGTGCCCTTTTCGGGGTCTTGGCCACCGCGGGAGGGGTGCCGATAATCCGCGCGCTCCCCGGAGGGCCGACACAAATGCTTTCGGAACAATTGAGCAAGGTACATCCCGCTTCTGCAGCATGCTCATAGGGCACTCCTTTTTGGACCGTGGTTGGACTTGTTCCGGCTCCTCACGCAAGACATCCGATTAGGCGGAAGCTCGGGACTGTTTGCCTCGCAAGGCGACGACGGGGCTGAGGATTAGTAGGTTTGGTTGGTGTATCGTGATCCTGTCGGGCAGTGTCTCCTTGACCTGTTGGCCTGTTTTCCGGCGGCCCTGCTTTAGGTGCGCCGAGAAGATGTTCTGGGTCACTCTCCGTAGACACGTAAACACGTACACACCCACCTTGCCCGTTGTTCTGGCTCCATCCAAAGATCATCAGCGACCACCTGATGAGCGGGGGGACGGCGTTCAACGCGGCAGGAGCGGCAGGGTTCCAGAGACCGCTCGTGGTCGTCATGCACCGGGGCATGGATCTTGTTTCTGCTCTCAGGCACAACAGGTAGTTTATAGCTCCCGGGTGTTCGTTTTGATTTGGGCGCATGATCGGACTCTTGTAGGTGATTCAGATTGGTGTAAACACGCAATTGGCTCCTTGGCGTGCGTCTTGTTGGCTGGTGATGCACTTCTGAGAGCCAGCGATCGTGTACGATTTCGTGTGCTCCAAGATTCCTGTGAACGCCGCCGAACGTTGTTTGACCATCTGTTGCCCTTTGCTGAACCATCGTATCCCACGCGGTGCTCTACTGGTTGTCGGTTCATTCGGCGAGCGCAGCACATACCAAGCCCTGGTAGACGATGTTCTGGACCATCGATTGAACCGGGTGACGGTTCAGATGGAGGGGAAGAACGGCCAAGGGAAGCGGTCCAAGACGTACGATGTTGACGCCGAGAATGTGAGCGGCAAAGTCTTGATTGGGGGTATGTAACACCTGAGTTGATTTGTGGAGCGCTCCGTTTCTATTGCGCGTAGCGGCAACGGCACCAAATGCTCGCCTCTCTGTTCTTAGGTATAGGTAACTGTTGTCTGCAGCCATCGGTACTACCAGCTTCCCCGGGCCGTATTCAAAAGCTATTGATCACTCAACCAGTGCTGATGCCACAGAACCGCAACTTGACCCCTCACCGCGTCAGGAGAGCAGGAGTGGAAACGAGCTGCGACCCCGAATTCCTCCGCACTCCACGAGAAGCTTTCACCAAGCGTTTCCACGAATTTACCGTCTGCTTTGGGTAGTATGTAGACGTGCATATGTCAGCGCGTTCTGACAGTTTTTTGTCAAGACTTGTTTTTCATGGTCCCTTGCTGTGTCCCTCCCGGATTGCCCCTTTACGTGTTCCCCACCCGGCGTGCCTAGGACTCCTTCTACCGCCGCTTCAAGGGCTCGCCCTTTCCTGAAGCTATCGAGGCCAATGGATCGGAGCTGGCGGCCGTGACTCAGAAGGCAAGACCCATGCGATTAGTTTCGATGTTTTTCGTTGGACGGGGAGGTGCTGGAGCCAAAACGGCATGGCCTTATATTATAGAGCTGTCCCATACATCGAATAGATGCGCCACTATGTGCTCTGGTCTGTGCATGGTTAGCCCACCTTGTATGTCTACACCAAACGGGAGCGGGGAAGGTAGTTAATCTTACTTCGTTTCGTCATGTCAGGAGGACGACATCAGGAGGAGGACCTCCGCAGCGGGAATCAACGCCGATGCGGCATCGTCTGGCTTGGGGGTAAGCACTCCCATCGGCGGTGCGGCCGGAGGAGGAGGAGACGAAGCAACGCAGGAGCTTGCAGCGGCGGTGGAGTCGCTGCCGAAGCTTTTGGAGCAGAAGAAGGGGCTAGAAATGCACACCAACATCTTGAAGGTGAGGGTATTCGGTGGCGACTTGGTAAACCCGGTGACGTTAATGTACGAAGATGGCTGCAGCTACTGCATGTACGATGACGGCACAAGTTGAGTTTTCCGGTCCTGCTGGGTTGTGAGCGCGATGTCTACTTGAAAGGTACGTACAGGCTTCATTGATCCGTGGACCAAGGTATCGGATGGACAACGAGAAGACTCGTTGGAAGCGGCGTGTGTGTGTGCCAGGACCCTGATTGTGCACGGGCGTTGGTTGACCGGAGGTGTTGCGTCGGCAGGAGGGAAGCTCAATCCTGGTCGTGTGATCTCTCATGACGGTGAGGCCGAACTGCACATTTCCGCATGCGATGGCATGAAAACCCCACACGCGGCTAGACAGGTCGCCGAGCTGCCCTTGAACGAGAAACACGACTCGCAAGCTTTTATGAAATGTTGGCTTTACGCTTACCGTCCGGCACTTGTGTATGTCGCGACGACACACAGGCCATCATGGATGATGTGGCGGCGCGCGAAGTGCCAGTGTACTTCGAGGTTGAGGAGGAGATTATATCTGCCCCGTCCAAGGTATGGTTTTAGTACTGGAGCGCACTCCCCACCGCATGTTTTTTTGACCAGGCGCCATCGATGAGCTGGCTGCGAAGCCCACTTGTTGGGCAAGGTGGAGCGAATCTTTTGCACCTTTGCAGTAAAACCCTTCTAAAGATGGGGGCCCTGCAGGCCGGTAGTTCAGCACTCACGTCCACAATATCTTCACGAAGGGGGGGGGGGGTTGCCTTGGATCCGTTGTGCGTGTGTTGCTCGACAGGCGTTTGACAAGTAGCGTGCCAATATGTTGCAGCTGCACCAACCGCGTGGGCTGAGCCAGATCGGGTTCCTCCCACGACATACATTCCTCCTTTTTTCTCGTCTCCTCTTTCTCTGTGTGACCAGCGGACGAAGAGCAGGGTGCAGGAGCTTCTTGTCAGCGGCAAGGGCTCCATCCGTGACAAGCTCCGCTTGCTGGGAGTGTACTGCTTGGCGGTCAGACCGTCCACCGCGGAAGTCACAGAGCTGGAGGGTCTCTTGAAGCAGTCCGCTGCTAGCTCTGGGGTTGACGGGGCGGAGGAGGAGGCGCAAAGGGGGCTGGGGGCGATCGGATTCCTGCGGCAGCAGGTGGGGGGGGGTACACGTTATTGTAACCGCAGTGTAGTTTCCGTTGGCGTTATATTTCTGAATATTCACGGACGACGTCCGTCGTGTCCATGGAACGAGTCATACTATAGTAGAGTACCTTTTTTTTCTTTTGGGCAATGAGATCCGTTGAGCGCTGTGCCTGATTGTCGGCGACTTGTTTTCGCCCTCTCTCTTGCATTCTTGCAGATATCCTTGCAGCACTTGCCGACAATGCAAGCTGGAGGGGGGTCAGACGAGGCTCCTCTGTCTGGTCCAAACAAGATGCTCTCTGGACTGTTTGCGAAAGCACAAACGCAAGCAACTGGATTGCTGGCAAAGGTGGGCCATCATGTGGTATTCCCTATGATATATACAATATACCCTTTCATTTGACGGTCGATGCTCGACGCTCTACTTGTTTTCCCACGTGTATGAAGTGCAAGGTATCCTGTTGGCCTCGAGATGTCACCACTAGAATGTGTGTGAAGGCGAATAAGGTGTCATGAAATATTGCATTGGTTAAGACGCGGATCTTCAAGTGCACTGCGACCTCGGTAAAACCGTGTCGTCAATTGTGCCGCATATTCTGCTCCTACCGATACATTGCTGACGCCGTGATACGCGTTGACACGATACTACTTTGTTTTTCGTTCCACGACGACTCGATCTTCCTACCGCGAAATCGGCATATCCACAGGCTGCCGCCACTGCTGGGCAGCTTCTCTCTCGAGCCAACAACGCGCACGTCACAAGGGTGGTCGAGAGGTGAGTCCCGAAGGTGCAGCCAAGGTCATGTTGTGTCACGTACTTCTTGCTCGGAACGGGGTAGAGATGGCCCAAGGTTTGGCCATGTGTGGGGTGTTTGCTTAAGAATTTTGACACCGTGATGGGTTTCTTACACCGATCAGAACAGAACCGGCGGACGCTAGCACAGGTAACTGCCGCATTAGACATGCATCCATGCTTTTCCCTGCCGTCACACATAACGTTCGGTTGTTGAAGCGTTGGGGAGAAGGTCCGTCACAATGCCTGGTTCCCCCAATTGTCGGCCCCCCCTGGCGCCATATTCTTCGGCTTTTCGGCAAGTTGCATGCTGTACTTCAAAGCAAACGTGCCGTAACACAGTCAGACCAACCACACCACACCCACCTTCGCCGTGTTAATGGAAAAAAGCCTTCTCGACTACGGAGAGGAAGACGAAGCGTACCTGTACCTAGACCCGAAGCTCCGAGAGCGAGCTGATCCGGCGGCGGCCAGGTCCAGAGGTCCACCCCGAGAGGTCATCGTGTTCATGATCGGAGGGGGGTGTTACTCGGAGTACCAGAACTTGCAGGTGCGCCGAGAGGAGCCAGCTGCGAAGCGCTGTGCATGTGATTGTACAGATAAAATGGCAACAGCTGCCTCTCGCTCGAGTGTTGGGAAGTTGCGGTCGACGCGCGTATTCTAGCAAGGCTGCAATTCCACAGGTCGAGGTGCTTTGTGTGGCTTTCTCGTCGAAGAGCTTGCTTTGTTTTCGGGCTAAAACGTCAATAGTGAAATAGATTGCACTAGAACCCCGGCAGCTTGTTGGGGGATGTATGTGCTTCAGGGCCTACAAGTGTGACTAACAAGCGCCAGCGCATAATGACATGCTTGTGGCTCCGGAAATCGCCATTGACAATGTCTCGCGCTCACGAAACATCGCCCCTCTATCGGCCGATACTGGATGCGCATGCCTTCTTTTGTGAAACAGGACTTCGCCCAGAGAAGATCGCAGAGTGCTCCTTTGAGCATCACGTACGGGAGCACGGAGCTGGTGAACGCGGAAGGATTCTTCGAACAGCTCATGGAGCTTGGAACGAAACAAGCGTGACAGCTGCTGGCACTAACTAGCCCAAAGCTTGTGCAGGCAAAATCCATCACAGCAGCATGGCTCCGCGGATGTGAACGCCTTGTGGCCCGGATAGTGCACATCTGGCCAAAGGGACCAAGGTGTTCGCGTCTTTTATGGGTCTCGTTTTTGTTGCACGAGGGGTCACATCAGCGTCAAGGGTCAAGGATATGCCCGTGTGAGCCTACTGCCGGCCTGCACCTGGACCAGACACGGGCGAGTGCAGTGCGGCGGAGAAACCGGGTGCATTTTGGAGTTTGGTAGCCTTGGTGTATCTTCGAACGACCAGGTCGTCGAGAGTTTGCCCAATCTCGACGATCATCGTCCCGTACCTAGAAGTTGGTTGCGTAAAAAAAGGAACAAATGATTCTACAACTATCGTATTGGGGCTCAGAGAAGGCAAGAACACAAGGTGCGCGTACGCTGCAAGTGACGGCACTGAAATGGGACGGCAAAAACTAGTTCGGCGAAAATTCGCACGCTTCGGAGTGTGCCATCGCCGGACACCCCGGGCAAGATAAAACGGAAATGTACTGCTGTATGTCTATCTGAAGCCCACACCATGTAGCATCAAGCTGCACGTCGTGAGCGACTAATCGCTCAAAGTGACGAATCATCACCACGGGTGGCTATATCTATTGAATCGTCATATAGGGATTACTGAAGCCAGCTCCCACGCGTACACAAAACTCCCAATGAGCGCTCCAAGGTTCGCAAAGCTTGACATGCCATGGAATTTCCCGAACGTCTTTCCGAGCTCCTTGTACTCGTCGGAGTCTTTCTTCTTGTCGTCCTCCAGTTTGTATCTGCATCAGAGCAAATCAGAGTAGGAGCCATTATCGAGGGTTGTTTTTCAGAACACGCTTGCTTTGACGAGGCTCTTACCAAACACCTTACGAATGTGTAGTCGGATGCCACAAAAACAAAAAGAGCCACCTGGGATTGGACACGGGACACTCACGGAGATGACTACCCGTGTTGCAGCACGTCGTCGGAAAACGTAACCGTTTTTTTTTCCATTCAAAGGTCGACCACCTGGGTATTGTTTTCTCCGAAGAGATTCCGTAACTCGGCTGCTGTGCCGGCAATCCAAACTGAAGCCAAGCTGATCAAGACTGCTCATCTATCGTCTGCAGCATGTCAAGTCGGCAGAGCTGTTGATGCGTACGCCACGAGTCGGCGACGCGAACTCGAATTCCGACATCAGCGTGCTTTCAAGCTTTCTTCATGAGGTGTGCTGGTACGGCTATTTCCTCTGCTGGTGTTCTGTTTGTCAGCGCTTACGTCGATTGTTCGTGGGTCAAGAAAAAGTGTTAAGACCATGATTGAGACATAACCGTCACTTCTGGTGCTCGCCCGCTGCCTCCGTTGGGAGCGCAACGATGGCGAAAGCGGTGGCCCCATGAATGCAGCGGGATGAAAAACAATAGACATACTGGTAGTGGGCAAAACTGCTGCTGTCGTCCCGGTCAAGACAAGAATACCTCGATTTTGAACACAGCAAATTCTTAGTTTGTCACAGTCGCAGCGCCGGCGGGCGAGGAAGCCTCACGCCGTCAAGCAAATGTTGGTACATCGTGTTTCATGCTTAGTGGTATCCTGGCTATTCCAACGCTCTCGGGATTGAAACTCGCGATACTTCCTGCTGGCAAAGAAGCTCACCGTTCCAGCATGATGCTTGTGGACTTGGGCTCAAGCAGTACCAGATTCAGCAGGGTTGAAAACAGCGAGACGAGCAAGGTGACGCCTGCTCGGGTCCTGTAGGGGTTCCGTGTTGCGAAAAAAAAATACCGCAGGGGAGTGTTCGGCATCACGTAGGCTTCTCGAACAGCATGCTATAATACTCAGTGGACACACGAAGGTAACAGCAGTTTCCAGTCGTATGGTGGCGTTCAAGTTTCTTGTCAAGGGCATCCGCCCCCCCCCCCCCCCCCTGGTTTGGCCCCAAAACTGAAAAGGGAACCCCCAAAGATGTAGAACCCCCGAAATTGAACCAAATTTAAAT